CGCATAGCTTTGAATACAATTTCTTCATCGAAGTTCTCTATATTGAGGTAGTCGATACTTGGATCATTTGAACTATTGTAATCAGAATTTTGAACAGAATTAGAGATGTTAAAAGCTGTTTTAAAGAAATCTGCAAAGGTTTCCACAATGTTCTGGGGGCTGTTTAAAGCATTTTCTTTATAAGACATCGTAGTAGGAACAGATGAAATGTTGTTTTTGGCCTTGATGAATCCCCAAAACCTTTTCGGATCGTTTTTAACATTAGCTGAGACATTATGCATGTATATCAAATGAGCATCTTTAACAAGTTTTTTTATGTCCCTTCTCAGTGCTTTGAAATTTTCATGAGCAATTACACAGTTCGTTTTCTTAAATTGCAGCCAAAATTTATATTTTTGTTTGATCAGATTGATTATATTTCTATTATACCAAACTGGATAATTACCGGCAGGTTTTTTCTTTGTAGGCACACATTTGCGTAAAATTGGATGTATGGCATCATAAAACATAGTAACTGCATCATGTATATTATTTAAATTCTTAAGAAAATCAAAATTAAGTTCTGCTAGTTCTGTGTAAAGATCAATTAAATTAGCTTTTTTAAAATTAAATTCCAAAATATGATCCCCATGTTTCTGTTTTTTTGTCCTATCATTACTAACACCGAATGTAATCTCCAGTGATGGATGATAAGGGTCTTCAGGAGTAACCGAATCAGTTGCCGATGTTACAGAGAGATTAAAGTTCGCATAAATTAAATCTAAAATTCGATTATCACAATTTATATTATTATTATACTGGATGAGCTCATAAAAATTTGACATATTTCCTAAAATTGCTACTTTATTACTAAGAAGAACATCACCTGTAGTACAATTCCAGAACTCCGTAACATTTAAATCACCAAGAATAATAATTTTTGACTCATACAACCAACTCATTGTCATTATACATTCAACAAATACGGAGTATTCATCCACAGAACACCTCGGTGGAATGTATACCAAAACTATGTAAACAGAAAAATTTATGGCAAATTTACATTGAACTACTACTATATCTATCCATGGAATTCTTTTAAGATGGTCATACAAAGGATGTAAATCAACAAGTACTGCCTCATAGTTCTTTCGTATAGCTAGGAGAACCCCTCCCCCTCTAGAAGTTGATGTTTGAATAAATCTGCGATCAGTACGCCATACATTGAATTGATTGAGATCAAATATTTCAGCGTTGTTAACCCCAGAGTTTAGCCATGTTTCACTAAAACAAAATATATCATATTCTAACAATGACAGTGTATTATTGTAAATATCTAAAATTTTGGTGTTTAAACCTCGTACATTCTGATAATAAATGTTGATTTGTTTAAAAGATACAGACTGATTGCAACTGGAACTTGATTGCAGTGATTGATATTGGATACTAAGTATATTTCGCTTAAAATCTGATGTAGCTCTTTGATACGCACTACAGTTAGCAAGATCCCAAGCTGCGTGTTCTACATCAACTTTATCTTTTTGTCTACCATTCAATACTACACAATTAACGCATTTGAGATTTTCGCTATTGCAGTCTTTAACAACATGACGTTCAGCACATCTTGGACAGGTTGGCATTCTTTGAGAACATTGCTTTGAGAAATGGTGGTAGCCACAGCAATTGAAGCAGCGCCTTATTTCCACAGCATCATACACCATGCAGTAGTCAAGTCCTATGATTAAATAACCGTTCTTAAGTATATTATTATAAGCCGTAATATCCACTTGAATTATAGCTTGATACCTTACAGTGTTCGCTGGTTTATTAGAAGTGTTGTTACCCTTTTTATTCTTTAGAGCAGACCAAGTAATTACTTCACAAGCAGCAGTATCAGAAAATAAATCTTTATTCTGATTCACGATATAATTTGGTAACATATCATCTTTAATAAGTTCATCACCTGAAATACCCACCACTTTAACCCTAGGTTTTAGTTGCGGTAATTCTTTTACCACATACTTTTCACTTAATTTATCAGCAGCTATAACCGATATTTTGTCAACATCATCCTTATTAGGACACTTAATTATTAAGCTTCCATTGCGCCCCATCTTAGTATTAGATACCGCTACACCAGATTTTACAGGATCAACAGCATGCAGAACATCAGACTTGGTCACTGATATATTTTGTTTTACGTCTTTCGGTTGAAGAATGACAGTGGATGAATTTTTCATTGCTGCTGCATACTTTTTATTGCCTGAGGTTGATATCGAGTTACCTTCTATAAGTGATTTTTTAAGTTCTTGGAATTCATTCTCAAAGTGAGTACGTAAATCCACTTTAATCTTTTCAATTTCACTATTCAAATTCTGCGATTGAATTACCGAAAATTTTTCAAAATTTGCACACAAAGTAGCGATATCATCAGCAAGTCCAGTAATGTTCTTTTTTACGTTATTGAAGACGGATTTCTCTAAAACCTGACAACTACATTTGCAAGTATCACAAAGATAGAATAAGTTCTTATTTTTTTCTAACAGTTTAAATTCATTTTCCGTGAAGTTAACACACGAGTAGTGAAACCACTTATTGCAAATACCTTCACAGCCTATTAAACCATCCTTTTTTGAAGATTTACATTTAGTGCAATTCGACATTGCACTAATCTTTAAGGTCACACTTAATTATCAACATAAGAAAATACACGACAGCAATAAAGAATGTTTTTACCAGTATACGAGTTCCCGCGCTTAACTAAATTAAAGATTTACAAAGTAACCACTATTAAATATGATGCTATGCTTACACCACTACCTCTCGGATAACGGTTAATTTGTATACACCATTATTACAAAAATGACTTGTAAATATTCACTATAAACTCACAAGAAACAGAGAGAACATCCACACACTATATATTCCAATAATAATTTGTTGTCCGTATTCCCTAATTTTTCAACGTCTCTAAGTATATATTTGCTCTTCCAATGGCAGCTGAAACTGAAAGCTCATTTTCTAAATTGAAATTAATAAAAAATTATGTGCGCTAAACTATGACCCAATTCAGATTATCAGTCCTGGACATTACAAGTACTGAAAAAAGAATAGAAATTAAATTAACCGAAATAACAAAAAAAGTTTGCAACTCAAAAGCTAGAAAAATTGACTTTGATATACAAAACAACACCGGATAATTTTAAGTTTATTCATTCTAGTGTGGGGCCGTAAGCACTGTAAAAAACTGAATTTTTGACTCTGTCTGTCTGTTGTCTGCCCCTCTGCTGTCTGTCGCTTTTTTATTAGACACATAATATCCGAAACTACTGGACCGATGGTTGTCAAGTTTTATATGTGTATTACTGTATTAGGAATATCGTGTAGATGGTAAAACGCTAACCAAAATTTGGCTAATCATTCCCACCCACAATGGGATAACGTCATCATCAAAATATTGTTTAAATTTTATAAACAGCATTTTACAATTTAACTTTGAAATTGCAAAACTGAATGCTCTGAAATCTTGCAAACGTTTTAAGATCGCAGGTAGCGTGTTAATTTGTTAATCAAAATTGATTTAGTTTATTGCTTCCCCAAAAAATGATGACGTCATCTTACAATTCTGCCGAATAAATATATCCGTGTTGAGTTTTTACCCTGGGCATCCAGATTTTTGTGAAAAAGTCCAGAATTGTATAACTCCGTTTTACAGTAATTTACTTTGAAATTTCAAAAACCGAATGCTGTGTGACAGTGTCGGATTGAGAACATGGGGGTTCACCGGGAAATTTACAAAGCCCTATGGTATTGTATACAGATGTTGTTTGGGTATTATTATTACTGCTATTTTCAGTTTTGCTGGCGACATTGACGTTTTGAAAAAATTATTTTGAAATTTTGATGACGCTACCAAGAAAAACAAAGCTAGTAAAAAAATTGTAGAAGGTTATTTTGAGAGAATTTCCCCCGCCTTTGAAGTATGGTCCTTTAAATTCCGCTTCTTTAAAAAATTACAAAATTATATTCCTCGATTTTCGTTTGTGATAACTGTTAACCTCTATAAAGTGGCGTAATCAACATCCCCGCAACCCCTACATCTTTAAATATGAACTATATTTAAAGCAGATAACCAACGGGAAAAATGTAGACAATTTCAATTTCTCAGTGTATGCTTAACGTTGACAATTTATGTTTATACTTCGACCGAATTCGACTACTGGCACAAGAATCAGTGAATAAAAGAAAATTAAATTTGGTCGATTTTGTGTCCTCAACGCAAAGGAAAGGACTGATTAATTCATACTCAGTTTTTTCCCAAAAACATTCATTAATTAGAAAAAATTCGGCAAAAAAATAAGATAACGGACAAAAAATCTGGATGTTAAGGGTAAAAACTAAACACGGATTCATAAATCACACATGCAGCAATATGTAATTTTATAAAATTTAAAGAACATTAGTTCAGCAGAATGCTAAGATGACATAACAATTTTTTGAGAAGGCCTTAAACGAACAATTTTTGATTAACGATTTATCATCTTTCCTATAACCCTAAAACGTTTGCAATATTTCAGTACATTCGCTTTTGCAATTTGCAAGTTACATTGTAAAATACAATTTTAATTCTTTCCCAAAAATCTCGAAATCTAGCGTAAATACTCAACACGGATTCTAAAATTAAAAAGGATTTGGAATTTGCGCTCCTCTATGTAGGGGCTGCAGATGTGTTATTTATGCTACTGGTTTTTACTTTGTAGAGATTATCATAAAACGAAAATCGCAAAATCAAATTTTATAATTTTTTAAAGAAGCTTCGACCAATTTTTTTGAACAATTTTTGAAACTTGAATGGTTTGTATGTTCATAGTAGCCCTTAAACCATCCTGATGTATTATGTGGCGATATCTTTGCGATCATTCAAAACTTTTCAAATAATATCTGCAATTTATAGAAGAAATCTGTAAAGATTGTAACAGTGTCCTAACGTGTTTTACACGTAATGTTGGTGTAAATATTAACCTATAAAAATTAAAATATTTTGCAATGTTATAAAATTCGAATTAGAAGCCATTATTGTATGAAAAACACTTTAAATAACCGTGTTACCGACTAAATTTCGACGATATATAAAAAGTAGTTATTTATGCTAAATAACCGTGGTTATTTTTTTTAATAAAAGTCGCAGGTACTTAGAACTGCGTGAGTACGTTAAAACCTGACAATAAATAAAGTGATTGTGTTCATCTAAGGTTAATTTAATGAAAAATATAATCGTAATTTAATTGAATTTGAACACGGAGCGCCATCTCACAAGCTGTGTTGCAACAACTAATAGAAATCGTTAGAAATGGTGCGTTTATTATTCACTTAAATACACAATTTAAACACTTATTTTTTAGTCTATAAGCTCGCATGAAATAATTATAACTAATATTCAATCAGGAGACACCATTTCCTACCCTATACCAATAATTAAAGGAGTGATTAAAAATAACGCTAAAACACTGTGCCAAAGTGATAAAATTTGCCTTAAGACAACTACAAATACCTCTTATTTTAAAGTAACAAACAACAATTTTACTATTCTGATTGAATTAGGAATTGGTGAAAATAATATTGATTTACACTACTGCTGTTCAGCGCACCCTTTTGTCATAAATTATTTTCCTCGCTCAACACAATTTACGGTACTTCCCTTGTATATCATATGTGAAGGTCATGATGGTAATTTTCAATCCCCGAACACAGAAGTAAACACTACCGAAAGCGCACTAAAAAGAATAACGTTGTGTTCGAAATTATTACAAAGTGTTATTGCGGAGAAATTATACGAAGAAAACCACGGAAGAAAAACTTTTCAACTAGAGAATAACTGCACAGTTTTTAAGAGTCGTTTGAATTATTTAAAAGCAAGAAAAATGAATCAAAATGAATTATGGACTGCCATTGGGGAAGAAATTGTTAATTCAAATTTGGAGTACGAAAGAATTAAGTTCCTTGGATTTCTCTCATGCACAAAGTAAGTACATCCAAAAATACAGCGATTTTGTTAAAATGTATTTGTTTTAAATATCAATTATTATTGAAAAATTATCGTCAAATTTATCTCTGCATTTTTTTTACACTTGTAGCTTTCAAAAGTTTTGTAATAGGGTCCATTTGGTGAATGGTTAATTTTATATTTTCTAGACGTTTCGTAACCCGTAGATTTCCGTTTCCGTTTTTTTTTTGATGTCGTCATCACAAAATTTTATTATGAAAACTATTTTGAAACAACGAATTTTACAGTTATCGTGGAGAAAACTACCATGAAAATCTGGACTACGATGACGTCTTAAAAATTACTGAAGCATATGTTGCTTTAGGAGGAGGGGGTTTAGCTTTATTTGGCACAGCATGTCTTTACGCGTGGCCCGAAACTTTATCGCAAGTAATACAAAGATTTGAAGATCGTACTATCATAGATCGAACTAAATTCATGGACGACAGTTGTTATAAAGGAACTTTAGGAGCTTGTTTTTCAACAACTTTGGGTTCAGTTTTACATGAACTGTGTCACACTTTTGATCTAGGCCACACTGAAGTAGGCATCATGGGTAGAGGATTCGATGATATTTATAAAGATTTTTTGTGTGAAGAAAGATTAGATCAATCAAATGATTTGGAGTGTCAAAAACTGAAAGAAAAATCTGGATATGGAAGTTTAGGTAAATTCGTAAGAGAAAGAAGAAAGCAAAAAGGAATTGTGAACAACATTTTCTTAACGAAAAGTTGTGTTACTATTTTAGCTTATCACAGGTCTTTATGTGTGCACTTTTCCGTCAGAATTTTTATTCTCACATTCTAGGTGGTTAAATAGTTTTCAGTTGTCGGATAAAGTAGTCAAATTTGATCCTCTCACCAAACTGGTAAGTTCGACAGCAGGTCTCAGAGTCATCGAATTGCGCGACGAAGAAAATGGAATGGTTCTTCTTCACTGGATTTTCGATGGTAGAATACTGAAATACTCATTTAAGCTTCCCGAAGAAGATTTACAAAAATATGGCTGCAAGTATGTGGTGTTTGTTGAAGACAACCATGGAAATATTTTAAAACATGTAAACATGTAAACAAAAAATAAAACTCTGATTTTTTTTAACCGTCTGCATCATTATTCTCTGTTACTTATAATTGCATAACACCTATTAACGTCTTAGATGATGTTGTTGTTTTAAATAGAACGGATTTATAATTGGACACCTACCGCAAACTTTTACTGTCAGTAAGAAGCCTCCACTGCACAGTTTTTCCTCTTCGTTCCTTTTTCTAAGATGAACAACACAATAAATTCGCTTGTTTCTGTTGAGTTTGAGGTTTTCGGAAAAGTGCAAGGTATGAATTTTTATACACACAAATCACTCCCAGATAACAAACCCTTACTGACTCTAGGTGTTTACTTTACAAAATATTGTAAAGAAATGTCCGAAGATCTTGGCATTACTGGATGGGTTAAGAATACAAAAAAGGGAACCATCCAAGGAAAACTACAAGGTTCGAAGGGTAGCGTAGAACAAATGTAAGTTCAAAGTTAACCTTGCGTGACAACTGTTACAAAATAAGTTCTACTTAATTGAGACTGTGAATAATTTTTATGTTTTGTTCAAAAAACAAAAACAAGTAATGTCTAACAAACAGCAACTGGACACTCGCCAAACTCGTGTGTGGTGTATATTTATCTTAGATTGACAATTTATAAATACGCAAGCAAGGTTTCTTTTTGTTTTTAATTTCAGGATTATTTGGTTATCAAACACTGGATCTCCTGGTAGTAAAGTTGATCATTGTGATTTAACCAATTGGCAAACTTTGGCTAAACCGGATTTTAGAGGATTTACGATTAGGTTTTAGAAGTATAGAAAAACGCAAAAGTTTTAACAGTCTGATCGTTGTATTTTATATTAAGGTAATTATATATATATTTTATTTCTTGTTGTACAATTATATGTAGATTATATCTTAGATCGTTACTCCTATACTATAATGTTATATTATAAATATAATTTATTATAACTTGTTGTAAACTACAATTTCAGATTGTCTATATATTTAAATCTGATTATAGTGCGGTATGGATATATTGTATAGCTCACAGCTGTAGGTTTTCAATTAATATATTAATTTTTAAAAATATTTCTGGCGTCTTAATTGCAAATAACATAAGATGTCCATACAAGTTTTAATATTAAACAGAAACGTGAACATTGTGCCGATTGTATATGACTTATATAAATGTAAATCCTAGAAAATTCTTGTCAAGTTGACAACCCTAAAAAGCAAATTTTGTTTTAAATATCGGATGGTGAACGTCTGGAGGTTTAGTATACTTTAAAAAGTTATTACTACCCTTTTGACAATTTTTTACCTATCGTTAAAGATAAGAATCAATTTAATTTAATTTAGAAGATCAAAGAGATCTTAGTGGGTACTAGGCAGTGAGAGAATATAATAGTTTGTTTTATATAATTTGGCCCACGTGGGGTAATTTATATTATTTTATCGAAGTTATTATTTAGGTATTACTCCGAGCATAAGCTAAGGAAGTATACGAGTCCATCGGGCGAATTGCCATTTTCATATTTTCTTGACGTATCATGATCTCTAGAGTACGAAAAAAGTTGTCTCCCGTTTCCGCTTGTCTGTCTGTATGTCTGTCTATCTGTATCCATTTTTGTTAGACACTAATCTCCGAAACTACCAGACCAATTGTAAAATTTTGTATGTACATAGTAATTATTTTATCTGTTCATGTCTGGATAGGCAACACATTTTACGACTTCGTCTTAAATTTTTATAAATAACAAATAACGTGTATTTTTCCGAATAAATCTTTGCAAAATGTGCAAATATGATGAGTCTATATACTTGTAATTTGTCATTGCATTAAAAGTTTTTGAACTGCTTATACAGGGTGACCCGTAAAAATTTTGGAATGAGTCAATTTATTTTATTGATTAAATCGGGAACGACTCACTTCATTTTCCCAAAAAATTTGCCAATACAATACTGTTATCATTATTATTAAGCATACTGCACCTATCCAAAGTGATATATCACAAAATTTTGTTAAGGGAAAACTCATTTGAAATGTACGTCTAACATGCTTCTTTACATTTACTTTAATGTTACATATCTTTATTTTAACTTACAAATGTTCTCATAAAAAAAAATAAAATTCGCATAATCAAATTTTATAATTTCTCGAAAAAGCTGAATTTGTTTTATTGTACTTCAGGAGCGAGGGAAGTTCTGTCGAAATAACCTTCGACCAATTTTTTTATGTAAGCATAAATAGTTGTTAATCGTGCACGTAGAAGATACACGTAGGGGGAGTTAAATTATTACCATGACATTATCTATCTTTTTTTTTCTTATTTAAGAAGGTAAGTGAACCAGAAGCTATTACTCGCACAAAAGAATTCTTTTTCGTACAATGCAGATTTTTCTTTTCGTTACGCCGTGGATTATGGGCAGTGGTTGGAAGTAATTCATTACTGTAAATCAATTCCTTTTCAAGTAATGAGTAATTGTAATGCATTACTTTTCAAAAAATGTAATGAGTAATTATAATGTGGTGACCGAATTTGAATCAAAATTTGGCGCTGAAAAAAAAATCAATCCAAAACAATCGTTAAATATAGGTAACCATGTGTACATTAGCGCTTTTTTGGGTAGCTGGTAGTCTTGCTACGGATTTTAGTTAGAGGGTTGGTAGGGAAAAGATGGCTGCTTGGTAGAGGGAAGTGAAAGCGTCACTTTTGGTGTGTTTGTTGTGAGTATAACAACGTGATGAGTTAGCTTGGTTAGTTTAGTTGGTTGGTAGTTAATAAAAGGAAGGAAGCCTTTGTTTAGCGACAATTAATCGTAACGACGACGACGCCATAGTTTTCCCCAACATGCGCAGCTAATTCTTGCGGCTTTCTAAACGGAAAAAAGTGAATTTTGACCGACGCTAACACGTCTAAAATTTGATTCATTCTTTGTAAATTCATAGATCAGGTTAGGATTTTAATCGTTAACTGGTGCTAAAACAATTTAACAGACATTAGATTTATTTAGAGAAACACTCACTAGAAGATTTCATGGAATTCACTTGGTCAGAATTCAGTCTTTTGTTTAACAAAGTTACGAATAACGTTTTTGGATGCTAATACTTAAGTGTTACATTATAACTAAGCTGGGCGGTCGAAATTTATTTATCCCCACTATCGACATTATTTTTCTCATAATTTTCTTGGCGATACGTGTCGTAACATCGGTTGCGAGCCACTGGTTCACCATGGTAGGGGTCAATTCGCACTGCTTAAATTTCGACCGCCTAGCCTTAATTATAACACTTCTTAATTTTTCACACAAGATTGCTAATAGTTCATTTGCGGCAGTAAATTAACAAAATTCATAATATCGTGAACTGACGGGGGGATTAAAGATTTCTCTCCTTCGACAGCTATCATCGTTATCATCATCATCACATCACCGAAACGCATTTTCCTCGCAACGTGAATAATTACATCACCGAGACGCATTTTCCTCGCAACGCCTGATACATTTTGTGTTGTTTATTTATTATGTGTTTTGTTTGGGATAAGCAGTCCACGATATAAACCCTCAAAACAAATTGTTTTAAGTAACCAATAGAACATCATATAAATTCTTTGTTTGAATCGTTGATAAAGTGTGGCATAATTGAACATAATGTAAACACTTTGTTTGAATCGTTGATAAAGTGTGGCAAATATTAATCTCATCTAAATTTGTTAAATTCAAATAGTGATCAGGCAAGGATAGCTTCATTGTAAACCCTCTATGTACAAGAGAAATGTGTGATAGGAGAATGTCGTCACAGGCTCTCCTAAGGAAAGTACACGGCGTGTTGGTATCTACTTATTATATGATCTAAGGTTGTAGTTTAATATCAGAGTTATAAGAATTGAACATATAAATGGAATTGAGGTAAATAACACAATAAAATTTAGGGGAAGCGGAGTGCGCGGTTCCTTTTCGAGCTGTCAGACTTAGAGGAGTTAGGGACGGTCGAGATGAGGTGACGCTGTCGGCTTCTGTCCATAGCCGAGACTCAACCACGAGTTTGCGATCGTAACGGGCTGCTCGTCTAGGCACTCTTGGGGTGCTGGGCGACAGTGCTTGTCGATAGAATAGAATCACTGTCGTAGTGGAAAACAGCCACGACCAGGAGCCTCAAACTCCGCTCGTGCTACAACCCCCAATGGGTATTTTTGTTGTGCTCTGGAATGAAATTGACACATTTCGATCGCCGCTGTTATAGCGGTCTGATGCCGTTGCCGCTGCATAGTTTTTTTATTATCAATTTCATCCAAAGTTCAATAAGTTTTTTTTGAGCTGAGAAGCGATTGCGATTCGGCCCCCATTGGGCAGCCTGAGGGCAAGTCATGGTCATGAGTCACCCTCGCTCGCAGCTTTTTTTTCTTTTTTTTTGTCAGTGGAGAAATAGATAATTTTGTGTCCTTCATAAATTTTGTGTTTTATTTAGCGGTACTTTTCCAACCTTGGAGCCCACCACTTGCATCTGAAAGTATTCCGCCATTTTTCAAAAACACAACGTAGGGTTCCATTTGTTAGACGATCACAGCCAAGGCCAAATTTTGAATTTTTGAATTTTTCGCAGGCTTTCAATTTTTTTTTCACATGTCAATTTAAGGCAGGATGTTTGGGTTATCACAGTAACGAATTACTTTTTTAGAGTAATTCAGTCACTTATATGTACAATTATTTTTATCCAAATACTCAAAAATAGCTATTTATGGATCAGTTTTAAATTTTCATAAAGGTACATTTGTAGAAATTGTATTAAAAAAATTGGTCTAAAGAGTTTAGACAGTACTTCCCTCGCTGTCGGAAACTTGACGACTATTGTGTTTTTTTTTCTCATTACATTTTTGTAGTGGGAATTTAAAAAAAAATTGCGATGACGTCATCAACATTTTTGCAAGGACACGTATATCAGTTGGGATAGATGTAGTGTAATACTAAGAATAAAATTATTATATTCTCAAATTTTCGGGAAAATGAATTGGGTCGTTTTGAATATTGATTTGTAATAATCAATAAAATAACGAAACAATTTACTCACGTATACGTATCAGAGGCAACTGAAAATCGTGTATGTATAAACATTCTTAATTTAAGATGACAGGCGTAACAGCATACGTGAGAGTCAAACAGAGAAACTGTAAACAAAACGACCATCGGTTTTATTGCTTCGACTTCCGCTTATTATATAAAACATTGGGTTTTATTTTAATTCTTGACGGTGAAATTCACAATTGGTTGATTATAAACATGTCTATTTCACATTCGCGGAACCAAGTGAACGCATAAAACAAATGCAGGTCTGTAATGTTAAAGTCGATGTAAATAAGCGTGCTACCCTTATGTTTCAACCGAGTTTTTCCTTTAACAAATTTTGTGTCTATCAAATTGGGTTGGTTGGGGTGTAATACTAATAATAAGTGTTGCCTTTAATTTAATCAATAAAATAAATTGCCTTCATTAATTTTTTTGAACCACCTCTTAAGAAAATCTAAAAAATATGAATGGAATGATAAATCACAAGTACAAACTCATCATATTTTTTGCATTTTAGATAGGATTTATTCAGCAAAATTTAAGGGTGACGTCATCAATTTTTTTAGGAGGGATGAACAAATACATTTTGAACAAAAGTTTACCATGCTTATAATAACTTTAAAATATTCCCAAGATTTCAAAGCATTCGGTTTTGTAATTCCTGATTAAATCGATAAAATAAATTCACGCCTTCATTAATTTTTTTGAGTCACCCTCCATATGCAAATCCAAAAATATGAATGGAATGATAAATCACAAGTACAGACTCATCATATTTTGTACATTTTAGATACGATTTATTCGGCAAACTTTTGAGCTGACGTCATCAGTTTTTTGTAGAAGATAACCAAATATATTTTGACTAAAAATTTATTATGCTCTTTATAACCTTAAAACATCTGCAAGATTTCAAAGCATTCGGTTTTGTAGTTCCTGATTAAATCAATAAAATAAATTTACGCATTCATTAATTTGTTTGAGTCACCCTGTATATGCAAATCGAAAAAATTTGAATGGAATGATAAATCACAAGAAGAGACTCACCATATTTTGTACATTTTAGATAGGATTTATTCAGCAAAATTTTGTGGTGACGTCATAAATTTTTTAGGGGGGACGACCAAATACATTTTGATCAAAAATTTACCATGCTTATGATAATTTTAAAATATCTTCAAGATTTCGAAGCATTCGGTTTTGTAGTTCCTGAGTAAATCAGTAAAATAAATTTACGCTTTCATTTATTTTCTTGAATCACCCTGTATATGCAAATCCAAAAAATAGGAATGGAGTGATAGATCACAAGTACAGATTGATCATATTTTGTACATTTTAGATATGATTTATTCGGCAAATTTTCGAGCTGACGTCATCAAGTTTTTGGAGGGGATAAGCAAATATATTTTGACTAAACATTTATTATGCTCTTTATGACCTTAAAACATCTGCAAGATTTCAGAGCATTCGGTTTTGTAGTTCCTGATTAAATCAATAAAATATATTTACGCATTCATTAATTTTTTTGAGTCACTCTGTATATGCAAATCCAAAAAATATGAATGGAGTGATAGATCACAAGTACAGACTCATCATATTTTGTACATTTTAGATATGATTTATTCCACAAACTTTTGAGCTGACGTCATCAAGTTTTTGGAGGGGAAAAGCAAATATTTTTTGACTAAAGATTTATGATGCTCTTTATAGCCTTAAAACATCTGCAACATTTCAAAGCATTCTGGTTAGCAGATTAAAAATTAAATTTCAAAAAGTTGTTTTATAATTTTGATTTTTTTTCCAAAAATCTGGACGTTTCGGGTGAAAAGTCGATTCAGAGTTGTAAACTACATGTGTAGGACTATGTTATTTTATACAATTGAAAACCCATTTACTATGTACAATTTTGAAGTGACGTCATCGCATTAGTGGTGGGGATGATTAGACAAATTTTGGTTAGCGTTTTACCATCTACATGATATTCTTAATATAAGTACAAAATTTCACAACAATCGGTCGAGTACTTTCGGAGATTATCTGTCTAATAAAAATCCGGGACGGCAGACGGACGGACAGACGGACGGACAGACGGACAGACGGACAGACGGACAGACAGACGGAAATGGGAGACCTATTTCTTCGTCTTCTAGGGGTCATGAAAGATCGAGAAAACGTAAAAGTAGAGAGTCGGCCGACGGACTCGATTACAATACTTCCTTTGCTTACGCTCGGGAAGTAAAAATCTATTGCGCAGAAATAAAATATCTTAATAAATAATTATTGAGTAAACCCATACAACAAATATCTATTTAAAATTGTCTCTTCAAAATTTTCAAAGTGCAAAAAGTAATTATTCAAGTAATGCATTATTTTTTAAAGTAAAGAGTAATTTTATTGCATTACTTTTTAAAAATAATTGTTCTAATCACTGCACAGAGGTATATAAAGAGTTCTACCTCCTTGGGTCGGTATGTCAAACGCTAGTGGTGTTCAATTTTCAGAGACCGCTACTGTACATCTGTGGGGTACTTTCACACTTATGGACACTCGCCTGTAAAAGAGCGCTGTCCATACAGTCGCATTTGCTATACCAAAGTGTCAAAGAAGTATCCATAACAAGTAATTGTCATAAAAAAGAAGTGATTTGTTTTTCAATTCTTATCGTTTTTATGAGTGTATAGTGGAAATAGTTAGACAAAACACGCCTATTGAAACTTTCTGTTAGCATTAACCGCGTTTGCTAACTTATTATAAACTATAAATCGTAAAGTGGAAATCTAACCTTAAAATCCGGCTGAATGTAAATTAGAGTCAATTCGGTCTGAAAAATGGCAGATGTGGAGGTAAGAAAATTGTCACGTGTAATAAAATGTTGTAAATATTACGAAAAATACACGCCCCAATAAAAATATTTGCTTTTAGCTTGCAAAAGCGTTGAAAGATCTTCCATATAGAGTGCAAACCGCGAGTTTGAAACAACGGAAAGAGGTTATTGGCAATGTTATTCGTGTTTTAGAAAATCCCGGTAAGTACTTACGAAAGCACCTACCACAGCTATTCATATTTGCACATTTGTAGCAATTAACGAAAATATCATCAAAGGAATTTGCCGCGTGATCCAGTTAACCCTTCCTCGATATAGAGACAGTTCATCCCAGCTTCTGGTACGAAATTTAATTGTTGCTTTGTTAGAAAAACATTCCGATTTTGCCGTAAAATGTTTGACGTTCATGCTAGCGGACATTACCTCTCAACACAAAAACCTCGTCGTAACGTATGTTGTTAATTTCTGGTTTCTCTGTATATTATAGCTCTCTTTTAGGACCAATACGTGTCAAACCGGTCTTTATGCTTTACGTTGGTCATGTTTAGTAGTTTCAGTGGGCTGGAAAGTAAATCAACAGGCCCTTCAGGCCCATATTTTGCAATTAATCGAAATTCAAGCTCTACTTTTAACAACAGTGGTGGCTGCTGGAATTGATAAAAGGTCAAATAAAGCGTTTAATATTGTAAGTAAAAAACAAAAATCAAATTGAGTTAGAAATCTTGCTTTCAGTTCAACAACACTTGGATTTCTGTGCAAGGTAGTGAAAAACTGTATTTGGAAAATCTAAAAGCATTAGAACAAACACATTATGTGGTAGTTCTAGCAGCATATTTAGCAAAACGATTAGCGCTTATTGAGAAAACATCTCTGTTGAAGGGTTATGTAGAATCCCTTGTAGATACGTTTATAAAGAACTTTGTTAGTTGTAAAAGTAGACCTTCTCCTGATGTTGTCATTGCTACTTATCCTTTATTGAAACAAGTGAATAGCGAGATATTTAAAAAGAGCTTGTGGCCTTCACTTCAGAAGGCTATGTTACGGAATCCCGAAATTATTCTAGAGTGCGTTGGTCTTGTAATCACAGGTCTTGGTTTAGATTTGAGCCCGTATGGTATGGAAATAGGAAACAGTTTAATAGGTAACACTGTGACCACTGTTAATATTTTTTTAACCGTCTGTTTCAGCCAATTTATATTCAAAGGACGACCAAGCGAGAACTGAAGCAGTTGATGCCTGCAGACGTTTGTCAGAACAAATTAGTGATCCTAACACCATTAATGAGTTATTGAAAAAAACATTTGCAGTTTTTCATGGATCTGAAGGGAAACTGACTGTTGTTGATCATAAAATCAGTGTTTTACAAGCCGCCGGCAATTTCAGTCGTAATAAAATTCCAGAACAGAACCTTTCCGCAGTGTTGATTAATGGCAGTGATTATTTTATCAAAATTTTGGAAACGGAAGTACATGAAAAAACATTGTGCCATGCCTTAGATATGTTGTCTCTTTGGAGTGTTAAATTTCACAGTGAAATGCCAAAGAAAATAGTGGAAGCTTTTAAGGTATGTATTTTTTTTTTGTTTACAAAATATTTTGCAAAGTTTTCGCGCTTTGTTTTTTCATAATATTATTGCAAAAAACATAGTAACAATAATATTTAAAAAATGTTTTTAAAAAGTATTTCTGATGGGGACGTTTCATATGATTTTTAAGTATCTCAAGTAGTCTGCTTGTATAAATTAGAACAGGGCAGCACCACGCAGGCTAGATCAGAGTTGTAGCTTACTTGTCATGTTATTTTATGTTGCTGCATTGATTAAATACATATAGATAGACCCATGCTATTGTTTGGAGCGAACAGGCCAACGGCCGGCGAACAAGAGATGGCGCACCAACAGTCGGCCGTCAAACGCCGGCGAAAAGCTTGGACACCAATCGCGCGCGTAGATAACCCAAATCGCAGCAACAATACATTTAATAAAGCTACCACTCGACAGAGGGCGACGAAAACAATGTGTAAAAATCTCATAGTAACCATTTATATAATTTGCAACGTTGCCAGATGAGCCTAGCACAACTTTGCCGTTATTTCTAGTCGATTAGATTTTATTTCGTTTAAAAGTTTCTGGTGAATAAATGGAATTATTATAATGAATAAACAATACAAACAATTTATTACTTGTTATTTTAAATACTTGTTAGTGTTGATGAAAACATAAATGGTAATTAAAGTTATTCTAAATACGGTCCGGTCCGGTAGCTCAAATTTTACAGTACGAGTGATATGTTTCAGGACGAGTAGGTAGCCGAGTCTTTAATTTCGAAACGAGTACTGCGAAAAGAGTTACCGGACGTATGTTATGTATTTTATTTCATACTGTCAACATACTTTTTTATTCGATAATATTATTATTATTTTGAGAAAAAATCCAAATCGAGTCATTTTTTCTGACATCGTTAGCAACCGCTCTTTGGTAAATGTTTTAATTTGTTTATTCGTGCAAATCAGCATCATATGTTTAAACACATAGTACTTATAACACTTTACAGGACTTATTGTTTTGTATAATCCGACTCGATGGACGAATGTTTTGTGCAATCCGTCTCGAAGGACCAATGTTTGTGCAACTCGGCTCGTCCTACCAGTATTTTTTGTAATCTGGTTGATACGACAATGTGATACCGAATTGTACTTTGATATTGCTCCAAGGACCTTTGTTTTCTTGCGTGCGAGATAATAGACAGCGTTCGGTTTCGATGTTTAATACAGGACGGTTACAGAAATACTAAATTTACATTTGTATTTACAATAACAGGTAAAGCAAAAGAGACCCAAAAGGGTCAGTGGCCGCTTCCGGAAATGGAACACTTGTCCTTTTTGGCTCAATTTTATCGGACTTGTCCGTTTTTTTGATTTTACCGGAATCGTTCGATCCAGTAAAACGTCAAACTTGACATAGTATAAAGTAAAATAAAATTTTTTTTCACTAGCAGCCACGACGCATGCAAATGTCGACTCATTTAGAGGTATCAAATTCAACTTTTGCGACCACCGGTTCAAAAAGAAAAATTGAGGTTATGTACGCAATGTTTGATGTGATTATTTAAAAAAAATGAACAAATGTGTGCTACAAACATTACTTGAGTATACGCACGGTAGTTGGTAGACGGTAGAAGATAAAGTGATTAACTCAGCGACAAGTATAAACGGTTTTCTTTGTGTTGAAGATTTAGATTAAGTTTGATTAGAAATGAAAACAAAATCATGTTGCGTCAAAAAATTGAACGTTTATTTTTTCAGTTTATTGACTTATGGTTTCTACTAGTGAAAAAAATAGTATATTAACCACGGTTGCAAAGCCACTTCTAGACCTCGCGCTTCAGAGCCCTCGACGCTGCGCGTCTCGGGTTCTAATTTGCGCTCGGTCTAGAATGCTTGGCTCTGCAACCTTGGCTAATAATATACTATTATTTTGCTGTTTTAAAACCATGGTTACCATTTCTGTAATTTCTCCAATGCCTTGCTGCTCTTTCCATCTAAGGAACTTTTGATACACTTTCTGATTTGCTCTTTTTTGGGAGCAAGTTTTGCCGTTGGAATCTTGCATGATTTTGCAATTTTTCGATAATTTTAGTTTGCTTAAAATAAACAAACACCGTCGCCAGAGTCACATACTACACACACACACCTGATATTGTAACCTAAATTCTACGCATATAAAACTTTTATTTGGTCGCTGTCAATTCTGACGTTTCTCGAATGTGAACTTTGAATCACCAATTTTTTCACAATTTGGGACTTGGGGTTGTCAAAATTGAATAAAAGTTTGTATTACACTCGCAGTTAAAATGAATGTGTAACTCGTGGTCTTAAGGCGCTCGCGGCATACGCCGCTCTCGCCTTAAACTGGCCGCTCATTAAACATTCACTTTAACCGCTTGTATAATAAATAACTATTATGATGTAAATACAATTGAGTATATCGATAATTCGCTACTGAAAATTTATTGAAATATAATTTGTGTTAAAAAAAGATTTTTGTGGTTTTATGGTTTATTAACATAATTTACTTATTTGAAATTAAATATTTTTAATACATAGCACAAGTGCTTGATATTCTTTATTTTTATTCCAAGTAATAATTGTGTTTCCTTTAGTTTTAATCAAGAAAATTTTTCGGTTATTATCTAACATACTTTTGTACATTAAGAAACTCCATTCCACGTCACAGGACGTTACAGGACAATATTTAAATAAATAAAGAAGTCGTTTTATGTGTTTTAAAATTCACTCTGATTTCCGGACTTTAGACTTTTTGGTGTTTCACTTCGGCACAAGAACTAGTCGTATCTCAAAGAAAACAAACAGTGGAATATACCGTATTGTACCTATATTTCATAGTAAAAATGTCTAAATTTTTTTATGAAGAGACAGACTGTTCTAGGAAACTTTACTAAATCTTTTCATTTACGAGCTATTGAAAGTCCGCCGGTCTCACTGATACTTCTTACTTGGCTCCTACGAATGAAGCGAAAAATGCACAGATTGAAAATATAGTAAATGGGGTAGTATGTATGCGTGATATGTCGTTAGACATTAGGTATTTTGCAAATAAAATCTATTTCATTGAAAACAGAAACAATAAAAAACATATCTGTACAAGTTTGGAATCGATATGGCCAGTTGTTTAGAATATGCAAATATGCTTTTGTTCGTATTTACAATTATTACGAAAGAGGTTATCAAATAATCTATTTTCACATGGCGAGACTTTCAAGCGGCCGAAGAATTAAAAACCATAAATTTTCATTGAAGAAACAAACTCTTCCAAGAAAATTACCAAATCTTTTAGTTTACGCAGTATTGGACGAGCACTCCTTAAAACGGTCAGTATACCTAATCCAGATATTATTTCATTTAGAAGTTTCTGGTAAATAAATGGGATTATTATAATGAACACATAAAACAAATAAATTGTGATTATTATTTGTTGTTTTAACCCATTAGACGCTTATAGGCTTATAAGCATACTTTTCTTGAAAAATCGGTAATAAATTCAGTGAAACATCTTTGTGCCTTAATTCCTATTGGTAAACTGGGATTTTGAATAGAGGTCGCAGGAAAATTTTGTATGGTTTTATGGTTTATTTACATAATTTTCTTATTTACAATGAATGTTTTTGATATATAATACAAGTTCTTGATATTATTTATTTTAATTACATTTAATAAACCATAAAACCACAAAAATCTTTTTTTAACACAAATTATTATATTTCAATAAATTTTCAGTAGCGAATTATTATCGATACACTTAATTGTATTTACATCATAAAATTTATTTATTTTACTTCATACTATGTCAAGTTTGACGTTTTACTGGATCGAACTATTCCGGTAAAATAAAAAAAACGGACAAGTCCGATAAAATTGAGCCAAAAACACGGAGGTAGAAGAGACACTCTTCTACCTCCGTGGCCAAAAAGGACAAGTCTTCCATTTCCGGAAGCGGCCACTGACCCTTTTGGGTCTCTTTTGCTTTACCTGTTATTGTAAATACAAATGTAAATTTAGTACTTCTGTAACCGTCCTGTATTAAACATCGAAACCGAACGCTGTCTATTATCTCGCACGCAAGAAAACAAAGGTCCTTGGAGCAATATCAAAGTACAATTCGGTATCACATTGTCGTATCAACCAGATTACAAAAAATACTGGTAGGACGAGCCGAGTTGCACAAACATTGGTCCTTCGAGACGGATTGCACAAAACATTCGTCCATCGAGTCGGGTTATACAAAACAATAAGTCCTGTAAAGTGTTATAAGTACTATGTGTTTAAACATATGATGCTGATTTGCACGAATAAACAAATTAAAACATTTACCAAAGAGCGGTTGCTAACGATGTCAGAAAAAGTGACTCGATTTGGATTTTTTCTCAAAATAATAATAATATTATCGAATAAAAAAGTATGTTGACAGTATGAAATAAAATACATAACAACATACGTCCCGTAACTCTTTTCGCAGTACTCGTTTCGAAATTAAAGACTCGGCTACCTACTCGTCCTGAAACATACCACTCGTACTGTAAAATTTGAGCTACCGGACCGGACCGTATTTAGAATAACTTTAATTACCATTTATGTTTTCATCAACACTAACAAATATTTAAAATAACAAGTAATAATTTGTTTGTATTGTTTATTCATTATAATAATTTCATTTATTCACCAGAAACTTTTAAACGAAATAAAATCTAATCGACTAGAAATAACGGCAAAGTTGTGCTAGGCTCATCTGGCAACGTTGCAAATTATATAAATGGTTACTATGAGATTTTTACACATTGTTTTCGTCGCCCTCTGTCGAGTGGTAGCTTTATTAAATGTATTGTTGCTGCGATTTGGGTTATCTACGCGCGCGATTGGTGTCCAAGCTTTTCGCCGGCGTTTGACGGCCGACTGTTGGTGCGCCATCTCTTGTTCGCCGGCCGTTGGCCTGTTCGCTCCAAACAATAGCATGGGTCTATCTATATGTATTTAATCAATGGTTGCTGTTAATTGTCTAGGTCATTTCCGGGTCAGTGATGGTTTTTGTAATAATACGAATAATAATGGAACTTCATTAAGAAACTATTCTACTTAACTCCTTGTAAATAACAGTAATCATAAAATAAAACAACTTCAGAAGTTAACATATATAAACTCTATCAGTATTCTCAAAATTATTTTCAAGTATATAAAAATAAAATATTGTTTGAAACTTGTAGATTCAGTGCTAGTTTTGTTTATTTTTAGAATGGCATGGGATTAAAAACTTCAACACCTCTTGTTCGCATAGCATACATCAAATGCATGTTGAACTCTTTTAACTCCAACACCATCCATCAAGCATCCGTACTAGTGCCCGTCTTGTTAAAAGCAGTCGAGAGAGCTGTTGCTCAGCCATCTCAGTGCCTGTCTGTAACAGAAGGATTATGTGCTACTTGTATGTTACTCCAGTTGATCTCTGTAGTGGGAGAAAAAGAAAACAACTTCCAGAACCTATGGAACGTAGTCCTAGACATGGATAAACAGATTTTCGTTTCAGAAAAGTTTCTTTCCTTAACAGGAGACGACGGTCTGATTTATGTAATGCAACTATGCGAAAAACTTCTTTTGGATTATCGCGATAAACTCAACGGAAAAAATTCTCCTCTTTATCGAGCTGTAATCCATTGCGTAGTCTTATCGTCCGCTAAAACACGCCGGAAGTGTTTGAAGATCCTTAAAAGGATGGTGGAAGGTTTGTCTCGTGCTGTGTTAGCACGCGCTCTTTTTCAAGGATTAGGGAGTTTTCTGGAAACTGTCAAAATGCAAAATAAAATTGAGAAGGATCAGACCGACGGTGGGAACGAAGTGTCGCCGCATGCACTCGTTGAGTGTATAACATCTTTGTGTTCTTCACCGAATTTGCCACCTGAAGATGTGCAGTTGTTGGCGCTAGATGCATTTTTACCAGCGCACCATCCTTTTGTTATGAGTGTAGCGCCGGATCTGTGGATAAAAATTGTCAAGCATTTCAATGTCAAACCGAAAAATTTAATCGCTCAACAGGCGGACTTCTTTAAGAAGATGTTGGTTCAGGATTATGTAACTTCCCCGGTAAGTACTATATATGTGGGTGAAAGACCAAAGTTATGTGGTTCTTTGAGGACTATACTCTAAAATTATATTTAACTGTACAGAGCGTTCTGCTTTTAAGGCGTAATACACATACTAGTTTTTTTTTTATGAAATACCCTATATATTTTTACATATTCTTATTAGCCTCTTCCTAGGTTTTATAACTACAGTTTATTTTTTAAATTCCGACGCGACGTTGCCACGTTATTTTGATTTTGTTGAAATTTTTTTTCAATGGAAGAGTTCACAAAAAAAATCCTACTACCTGCTAAAATAAGACCAATTTTGGCAAATGAGATACCTTGTAAGAAAAGAGAGGGTGGTTGGAGCTAGTAGCTGCTAAGATAAAACTGATTTTAGCAGGTACTAGCCCCGCCCACCCACCCTCTCTTTTCTTAGAAGGTATCTCATTGGCCAAATTCAGTTTTATCTTAGCAAGTATTGGTTTCTAACTTTTACAAAAATTGATCAAAATTTGGAAACATTACGAGCTTACTTATAGCATTGTTTAAGTATATTATAGTTGGACAACCTATACGGACAATCACTTTCCCATGTAGAAAAGAATGAATATATATTTTACATCTCACTCGCTTCACTATGAAGTGGCGGTACCTTACGAAAGGGGGTAAAAATAGTCCGTAAGCACGTGATGTCGATAAGGTAGTAAACGGACGTATTAATCAGTACGTTGTACGGGGAGCAGTCACAAAATAAGTAAACGTACGTGTTGAAGACTTTACTGTAATATATGTATATGTAGTACATACCTGTTTCAAGGTTAAGGTAACAAAAATTTAATATTATCGCGGTATACCTATTATCCATGAACTGCATGGCTAACAAATACGCGTCCCTTCGTCCACTTTAAAGGTATACGAAATTAAACGACCACTACTTTAATTAATAAGTAACAAATCATCTAATTTGCCTCCAGAATAACATGGATTATCATCAAACTATGAACACCAAATTAATTCAATATGAACATCTTCTTACGTATTTTTTTTATTAACAGTAGTCAAATCATTAAATACATATTATTTTTGAAACTAAAATGCATTTTATCCTAAGATTGTATCACAAAATATTCATCACCATTTAAATATATACGATTTAGACATCAAGAAATAAATTTAGAATTGCAAAAATTATACTAAAACAGCCTTAAATGTGTCTTGTATGGACGTGCTTATCAGTATGTAGGCATTTTAACGCACAGCAATAATCGTTCTTGATGAGTAATGACTGATGACTACTGTAACACAGTAAATCCTCGAAATCGAAAATTTAAAACACTGAAAAATTCAAATATGGGAAAATTGTAAAATCGAGAAATCGAAACATAAAAAAATAAAAAAAAAAAAAAATTGGAAAATCTAAAATTTAAAAATCGAGAAATTGAACAATCGGTTAATTCAAAAATCGAAAGATCGAAAAATTGGAAAATCGAAAAATAAAAAAAAATTGGACAATCGAAAATTTAAAAATTCCGAAAATTGAAAAATTGAAATATAGAGAACTGAAAACTCAAAAAATCGAAAAAAATTAATAATTTCAAAAATTGAAAAGTTAAAATTGAGAAATCGAAAAACTGAAAAATCACAAAATTGAACGAAATATCAAAAAATTAGGAAATTAAAAAATTGAGAAACAAAAAAGTCAAAAAATCAGAGTCTAAAAATCGCAACCTTAAAAAATCGAAAAATTGAAAAATCAAAAACCTGAATAATCGAAAAATCGAAGAACTGAAGAACTGAAAAATTTTAGGAAACTTTAGGAAGTGGAAAAATGGGAATATAAAAAAATAGATTAATTGAGAAATCCAAAAACTAAAAATTCAGAAACGTCAAAATTTGAAAAATAAAAAAATATTGAAGAACTAAAAAATCGAAAAATCTAAAATTTAAAACACTGAAAAGTTAAAATATCCTAAAACTGAAAAATGGAGAAATCCAAACATCAAAAAATCAAAAATAAAAATAAAAATCTAAAATTTAATAATCGAAAAACTGAAAAATCAACGAATCGAGAAGTCGAGAATTTAAAAATTGGACAATTGAAAAATCGGATAAATCAAAAATCGAAACATCGAAAAATCGAGAAACCGAAAAGCAAAAAATCGAAAAACCAACAAATCGAAAAATCGAAACATTGTAAAATTCAAAAATTGAGACATCGAGAAATCGAAAAATCAAAAGACAAAAAAAATCGAGGAGTCAAAAAATCGAGAAGTCGAAAAATCAAAAAATTGAGAAACCGAAGTAGGCCAAAATCGAAAAATCGAAAACTTAAATATGGAAAAAATTGATAAAGCGAGACTGAATAATCAAAACATCGAAACATCCGAATCTCAATGAATTGAGATCTCAAAAAATTTAAACATTCGTAAATTTAAAAAATTAAAATATAGAACTGGAAACTCGAGAAACTGAAAAATCTAGAAATTTAAAAATTAAAATATGAAAAAGTTGAAAAATTGAGAAATTAAAATAAAAAACAAAAAACTGAAAATCCAAAAATAAAAAATTGAAAAATCTAGAAGTCGAAAAATGAAAGAATCGAAGTATTGAAAAATATCAAAACTGAAAGAAATATCCAAAAATTGAGAAATCGACAAACCAATAAAGCGAAGTCGAAAAATCGAAGAATTGAAGAACTGAAAAATCGAAACTTTGAGAAGTGGAAAAATCAAAAATAGATTAATTGAGAAATCAGAAAACTGAAAATTTAACGCAAAAATTTGAAAAATTCAAAAATTTAAATACTGAAGAACTGAAAAGTCAAAAAATCGAGAAATCGAAAAAACTAAAATTTAAAACAATGAATAATTAAAATATCGCAAAATTGAAGAATCGAGAGATCCAATTCAATTTGAAAAATTGAAAAATCGAGGCACTGAAAAATTGTAAAATCCAGAAATTGAAAAGCTCAAAAGAAAAAAATTGAAAAACCGAGAAATCCAAAAATCGAAACATCGAAAAATTCAAAAACTGAGACTTCGAGAAATCGAAAAATCGGAGGATCGAGAAATTGACAAAGTCAAAAATTGAAAAATTGAGAAATCGAACAATCAAAACAACGAAACATTTGAATTCGATAAATTGAGAAATTAAAAAATTGAATAATCGAAAAATTTTAAAAAAGAAAAACTGGAAAATCAAAAATTAAAATTCAAAAAATCGAAAAATGAAAAATTGAAATATAGAAGAACTGAAAACTCGAGATATCGAAAAACCTAGAATTTTAAAAAATGAAATATTAAAACATCGAAAAGTTTAAAAATTGAGAAATCGAAGCATTAAACAGTCCCAGAATTGAAAAATCTAAAGTTTACAATAAATGAAAATCCAAAAAGGAAAAAAGCGAGAAATCAAAAAAAAATCCATCAATTCAAAAATCGAAAAGTCGAAAAATTGAAATATTGAAAAATTTCATAACTGAAAGAAATATTCAAAGAATTGAGAAATTAAAAAATTGGAAAATTGAGAAATCGAAAATCTAAAAAAGCAAAATTGAAAAATCGTTATCTTAAAAAATCGAAAAATTGAGGAATTGAAGATGTGAAAAATCGAAACTTTAGGAAATCCAGAAATGGACAAATAAAAAAATACTTTAGAAATCGGCAAACTGAAAATTTAGAAACGTGAAAATTTGAAAAATTGAAAAATCGAAATATTTAAAAACCGTAAAATTGAAGAGGACAAAAATTGAGAAATCGTATCATTGAAACATCGTAAGATTGAGAAATCGAAAAATAAAAAAATCGAGAAATAGAAAATTTAAGGAATGGAGGAATTGGAAAAGCCCAAAATTGAAATATTGAAAAATTGAGACATTTAAAGTTGAAAAATCGAGAAATCGACAAGCCGAAAAATCCCAATAGCGTATTTAGGTATAAATCACAAGATCAGGACTATTCTACTTTTTAAAATTTAATTACATAACATTATAAATTGGAAAATGTTGATTTTTTTTTCCAAAAATCTTGACGTCTAAGGTGAAAACTCGACACGGATGCATAAACCGTAAACGGGGCCAAACTACAATTTTACTATTGTAAAATTTGGAGATTGCGTCATTTCATTGTTCGTGACAAATTTTGGAGAGTGTAATTTGATAATACAATTTGAAATGTAAATTTTGTCATTCGGGAACATTATGTATTAAATCGTTAAGATGTTCAAGAACTTTGTTCACTTATTCGTTGTAAAGTCCAATGGTCGAAATGGGTTAGTTCTTCGTAGTGGATGTGTATCAGATCAACTCTAACGAATATCGGTTTATAGATAAATCGCTTAAAGCCGATATTGACCTGAGTGTGCTTTGGTCTGTAGATCAAACAAGTTCTCAGGCGACGAAAAATTGCATGTGGAGGGAGACTTCGGATTACAAATCGTGCCAAGAAAGTAATAAATTTATATCGGTGTAAAATATTTGGGAGATGGATTTTCATTCAGATGGATTAAAATTATCATAATCACTATTAATATTAATTAACACAAGTTGATTTCGTTAATAAATTCATAGAAACTTATAAGGGATTTTCTCATGCCTTAGAAAATTAAAAAGTAAAAAATACAATAACAAAAATTTTAAAATGCGGTTTACGAAAAATTAGTTGACCTGTGCAAAGAAGAAAATTTTGGAAACGCTGACAAATATGACATCTTAAAAAAAAATAACACTTGAAGAAGTGCTTTCGGCGTAATATTTTTGATGCTCGCGTGAACAAAATACTCTATGTCAGTGTGCAGTGCGCAAAGAGTTAACTGTGCAGATCTAGCCGAAAATCCGAAAACCAAATCGCTGTGTGTAGGGCCAGCATAACGGAAGTAATAAATCATCCCATCGGTTGAAGAACGTTGGGTCGGTGCACTGATGTCGGTGTTATGTCCCGAGAGGTGCCCAATACACCCAATAAAATGGAACAGACAAAATAAAGCTTCAAAAATGATTATTTTTATACTAAAATTCTGAAGTTTATAAACTGCACATTTTATTTATTTATTTATTTATTTATTTATTTTATCTTGTTTTCGAACTATAATAAACATTTCAAACAATGTCTGTAACTTATTTTAATGTAAATTATATTCATGTGGTTAACAAAATCAGATGTAATATTAGTGTGATTTTGACCTTATTCTAGATTTTATTACAGCAGAACGGCGTATCCTTTTTAAATTTTAGAAGTTACGGAAACTAGTTCAAGAAACAATTAGTTATCTCGGATTTTTGGAACAAAATCTACCAAAATGTCCGATAACAGCAATTGTTTTTCATAGAAACAAACAGTCTTCAAAGCAGCCTTTAACAACTCGATATTACAAACATGCCTCTTAAGTTCTTAATGCGTTTTTTTCTCTCTTGTAATTATTTGCCGAAAGTTTGTCATTCTGTTATTTACTTTGAACATATATTTTCATTTTGTGTTAATATTTTTGTAACACCACGAATCTAAATTTTACTTAAAATCTTATTTTACTTTAATCTTGTAAAACTAAACAATTATACCAGTTTAAAAACCCTTGGAAAGTTTCTGTCAGTCTTCAGATATAGTCAAATAAAAATATGCGTCAAATTCATTTAAATTCAATTCTTTCTTATCACGTTACAACGCGTTGCTTCATATTTTTTATGTCAAGTATATTTTCATATTTTGTACATATATGTTTATACACATTACTGTTTACGGAACAATGTTAATTATGGATTTATGGATAACTCCTCGTATAAGAGCAGAGTAAAGGGTGTTTGTCTTTGCTAATGTTTGATGGCGCCATCTGATTTAGAGTAAAATAAACCTAATACGTTGGCTCACTGTAGTGAAAATGCGCGTTGACGAAAAATTTGTCCCACGCCCCCTGGATTCCTTGTCCTAAAGCTCACTATTTAGGCGAAGTAAAATTTGTATTAGGTTGTCCAACTATAATATACTTAAACAATGCTTATAGGCACAAGGTAGGAATTTTAAACCTTTTCTAGTGTTTAATTGGTTATGCTTTACTGGATTTTTCTTTTGTTGGTTTTGTTTATAATTTAAAAATGTCTTATTAAATGTTTTTTTTTTTGGTTTATTTATTAATGGAAACTTGTTTTATTAATAATAATACACAACGACTACTGGTTGGTTATTGTCCTAAAAAAATAAAAGGTGGATTTCAGTCACCATCGTTACTAAGAAATCAGAAAGTAAGCCGGAGGTAAAATTCACGCATTGCAGTGTTGCCAATTTTACTTTTATAAAAATTACATTTTTTTCGTAATCTATATTATAAAGAATTTTTTTATTATAATTTTTTTTGGGACTCCCGAAACCCCCGTGTATAATGTACTGAAGAGTTAATCCGCCATTTTCGAGAGACCCGGTATATAAAAAAATTTAGACGAAATCGTTTGTGGAAAGTAAAATGTGTTGTCTATTCAAACTTATCTATTTATCCAGGCGTGAACAAATAAAATAATCACTCTGTATTTATTAAATACTGTTAATACTGTATTTTCGATAATAAACAACAAATAACCCTTATTCGGCTTCTGTATTTTCAATACTAGTGGACTATAGCTAGACATTTTTATCAGTAAAGGACGTTTTCATGTTAAATACATACAATTAAATATTTATGTCTTGGCTTCGTAAGTAGATGTTGTATATCCATAATTTGATGTAAATTGTAAAATCTTGTATATATTTTTTTCCCTCTCATTCTTGATTTGCTAATATCAATTATGTTTTCTTCAGTCTAATTATGCTCAAGAATTTTCTTTTGTGTTATTTATTTTAACCAAATAAATTGGAATAAATGAGATAAAAGTATTAGTATAATTAAGCACAAGATTATATATTAACGGTACATAAAATTGTATTAAAAATAATAATGTAAAAATACATATTGAAAAGCGGACTTTAACATTTTAGAAAATTCGATCAGCAAAACTGGTGTAGTTTTAATTAATCTGGGCCGCAAAATTACATCTAATTTATTTACACAACAAAATGAAGTCAAATTTGTATTTATTTTTTATTTAGGTAATACATATGTCACTTGACTTCTATTTTCCTTTTTAGATAAATGAAAATGCGTTGGCCACGACAGTGTCTTTAAACGCTGATGTAATAGTACCACCTTTAATTGTAACCGTCACTTCTCGGCTGCAAGACCCTCGTATTTGCCAAGTTTCAAGAGACGATTACTTTACTTTTCTTACACCAGAGGGAGAGCTTTATGATAAAACCGTAATTCCAGGGTATTATCGTCCTTGTTAATAAAAAATCATCCAGTTAATTGTTAGTTAAAATTCTAGAGATGATATTAATGACACAATGAATCTGAAACGCGAAAGTAAGGTGTACAGCTATAAAGAACAATTAGAAGAATTACAGCTACGGCGAGAAATTGAAGAAAAAAAGAAGAAAGATGGAAAGGTCAAACCCCCACAATTTACACCTAAACAGCTAGAAGCAATCAAAAACCAAAAAACGAAAGAACAAGCCATCAGGTCTAGACTAACAACTGTAAGTTTTTTTTTTTATCCCGTGATTCGTATTCATTATTATGTTTTAGTTGAATACATCAATAATTAATTGCGTATCAATGATCCGGGCTGCTGCTAAAGGGAATCCGTTACAACTGTCGCTACATTTTAAGGATTTACTTCCTTCTCTGTTAAATGATCTACAATCACCTCTTGCGGCTCCATACCTTTCGAAATTGTACACTGACCTTCGCACTGTGGTCTTCACCAACAAGTTAGAAACTCTAGGAGAATTGATCGCTTTCGTTACGTTAAGACTGTTGAAACCGCAGTGTGATTTAGACGCTAATTGGGAGGCAGAGAACTTAAATAAAGCAATGGTTCGAACAATTTCTTTAATTCATGAAAAAACAGTAGTGAAGAAGATTGAAGAAAACCCGGTTTGTTTTACAGTACCAGCATTCTGTTATACATTTGTGTTGTTAAAATCGAGTCTGTTGTCAAATTATGCCCGAAATCACGACGAACTGGTGCATGATGGTTTGCAGATTATTTCAGAACATGCAAAACTTCGGGCAAAGGGGCAAAACGGGTTGACGGATGTTTATGATCCTCAGTACCTTCCAATAAGGCAAATGTTTGAACTACTTGTGGAAATCATAAGTAAGTCTTATTTGCTATTTTTTGTAAAATTTGGAACTTACATGGTATAAAATTTTGCGCTTAGGTAGCTCAACTGGGCGAGTTCAATCGCAAGCCGAGGCATGTCTTTTGGATGTTGCAACATGTGCCAGCGGTGAACCTGGATGCGCTAAAGCAACAACTGAAGAAGTCGATGTGTTGCTAGGAGCTTTACAAAATCCAGCTGTCGTAGTCAGAGACGCTGCTCTGCGGAGCCTCACCATTACAGTATCCTCACTACCAACTTACCAAAACGATTATGAGTATGCGATGAAAATCAGTAAACGAATATGGATCGCAAAGTTTGATGAAAATGAAGATAACAGGTCTGTTGTGTGTACTTCACAGTCCTAGTGATTATTTTTGTATTTTAGAATTTTGGCTGACAAGTTGTGGGAACTTGCTCATCTAGATTTTCCCGCCTATCTTAGTGAAGAGCTCATGCCTGATATTGAACATCCCGTTGAATGCGTACAGGCAGCAACTTCAAGAGCTCTTGCAGCTTTATTAGAAAACAACAAAGAACAAGTGCAAGAGACTCTGAACAAATTGCTCAAGCTCTACAGCGAAAGATTACAGGTAATGTGCAGCGAATTTGTGTCTATTAAACATTTAACTTTTTTTTGGTTTAGATGATTCCGGCAAAACTAGACGAATTTGGGCGCGAATTAGAAAAACCTATCGATACTTGGTTTCCCAGACGAGGTGTTGCGTTGGCGTTGGCTCAGTTGGCTCCGTTGATAACACCAGATTTAATTGGTGGTTTGGTTCAATTCTTTGTTTCAACGTCTCTGAGTGACCGCAATGAACAAGTTAGGAAGGAAATGTTAAATGCTGCCTTAAAAATCGTTGACTTGCATGGAAAGGTATGTACTTATTCACACATTCTTCTACCTTCTATGTTACTGTCTTCATTTGTTATGACCAGGAGCGGCTTGCCCTATGAGGCAGGTGAAGCAATGGGTCACCAATGAGTTTGCGCTGTGTTATTATTTTTTTATTTCTTACCGACAAATTTTTGGCCAATCTATTGTTGCAACTTGCAAAATTTTAGCAAACAATTATTATTTGACAAAAATTTTTGTTATTCTACAGCCAGACGGATAAATAAAGAAACAATATAACGCCATAAAAATAGCGGGCAAATTTGTACCCTATTTGGGTTAGACCGCAGACTTTTCCATTTATCCCCGTACTTAGTTATTTATGAAAATCAGACTGAATAAAATATTGTTTTGTCGAAATTACATTGATATATATTGTACGAACTCATGAACAAAAAGACAACTATTCTCATTTATTGGGTCAATTATAAATATTGACCTTACGAAAAGTATTCTATATAGAGATTTTCTTTGAGTGGGACTGAAATAAATATATAGTAAAATTCGCTCAAAGCAAAGTCAGATATAGCCCCATAAGAAGCAACGTGGTCAATGACCACGTTTCACAAAAGATCAACGAATTGCGTTCGGCAAGCACGACAACTACTACACAGTGAACTTGAAATGTCTTATTATGTTTTCATTAAAAATTTACTATGTTTACTTGGAGTATAAATTTAAAACATCTGCAAGATTTCAAAGTTCCTGATTCAATCAATAAAATAAATTGACTCTTTCATTAATTTTTTTAGTCACATGACATCATCTGTTGTGTATTCAAAATCTGGAAGCCGCTATTAAGACCACAATGGGTTCACATTGGTCGTCTGAAAAGCCATTCTGGTATTCCTTCTAAAATGACTTATCTGGATAACATTTTGCGTAATCCTAAAGATATTGTAAATGCATTAATGAAACATTTCCGACCCAGCTATTCGGAGTATAGTCCAAGTTCAACAGACGAGTTGATTCATGAGTCCAGTAATAATTTCATCACCCTTATTTCGGTAAACAAAGCACTCTTCGAGTCTTGACAACTAACAAACGTAATTTGACTAGTGGCCATGATAACGTACCAGGTTTCTTATTACATGAATTTACTATTTTAAACATGTTTTAAGTTTCTTGTTGTGAAAAGATGACTACGTATATTAATTAAAAAGGCAAAATGTAAGGCCCGCCCACCCGCACTGTCTCAATTGTGATGATTTTTTTATTCGCCGTGAACCAAAGGGGCGGAGCTTAATTGTAAAATTATTATTTCTCTACAAGATCATTTTTTTTGTAATCGTCGAGAGCCAAAGGAGCGATCCTTATTATTTCTCTAGAAAAAATAACCATGTAAGACATGTTTTTGAGTATCGTGTTATTCAAAGAATACCATGTATATCATGATACAATAATTCTTTAGCTATGATACTCGTGCGACACAAAATTAAACCACTTCGCGCAGTGACGTCACTCGGTGAGTAGAACTAGTGGAATTTCAGCATAAAAGCACGAAGAATCGCTAATATTTTTTAATTTTATTGTTATAATTCGTTATGTATTTTAAAAAATGTGTTGTACAACCTCTATATTATAATATAATAATTATAATGCTGCATTAAACAACCTGAAAACTAAATTTACATCATTTACCTGAATTAAATTGTAAAAACGAATTTAACGGAGTTTGATAGTATTTCTATTGTGTGTAACAAATTAAAATTTCGTGTTTAATATTATTTTTCGTGTACTCAATAGAAAAGTGCGGCTTTAATTTGGAGATAATTATAAAAAAAAGTGCTATTTTTCTGGTTAGTAGCGCATAGGTTATCTGAAAATGCCAAGATCTTCAGAATTATCCATTTTTTGCTTTTTTTAGGTTTTCATTATTGATTATCATGAACAGACTCGTTGTTATGGTAATTGTGCACATTTAACGTGAACATAATTATCTTAAACAGAAATCTATTTTAGAAATTCTTTTCTAAACTTTCAAAAACTGAGTATAAGAAAAAGTAACCACTAAAAATAAATACATTGTACTATTGAACTGTAATCTACATGTTAATTAACAATTTTTCTTGGAGTGAAAATTGTTTTCATAGCTTGATTTTCGTCAAGCTATGAAAACAAGTTCGTCGTTTTGTTTTTAAGATAAGCAATTTTTGCTTCTAGATCTTCTCTCTATATATCTTGATCTGTATTTGTACTATGTAAAAAAACATAATTAAATATTGGATATAGTACGTCTTCAAATAATCGTTTTCCTTGAGAAAGAAATATACATCATGCAAAAAAAACGTGCAAACATAAAAGTTATTCTTCAAAAAAAAAAACTTTCCTTGAGTAAATACAATAAATAATGTTCAATATACCCAACAGATTTACTTGTAGATTCTGTTTTATCATCCAAAGCAGCACTTGCGTTGTAGGTTTCAGTGCTATAAAATAAATGAAAATATTAAATATTTGCTAAAAAAGAGTCCTATAAGATGTTCTTTGAAAACATTTTTTGTAATTGAATTTGTTTGATTTATATCAGTATTCAAGTAAAATAACCTACTTAATTTCTGTGATTTTATCCCTAGAAGAAATTTCTTTAACTAACTTGGCTGATCTCCAGACTTTAGTGTTTTTTTCCTTTTTTAGGAAGATAATTCAGAAGTTCGTGTTGCAAATTTCGTTCGAAATCGTCTTCACTAAAATGCTGTGAACACACTCTTGCATTTTTTACTATAAAAGAATCCGAACGACAACAAGAAATAACCCATACTTGTCTCTTGGAAACGAATAAAATTGTATGTCTTTTTGAAAATGTCTTGATTGTTTATCGCTATTACACCTAAAAACGCCACAACACATCGTCGTGACTTTATAAAATTATTAAAGCATAACGTATAGCCACTAAACTTTCTAAAAAATACGTGGAAGACAGAAAAACGTTGCAGAATACGCGCGAAATGCCTGTGTTTACTCACCGAGTGACGTCACTCCCCCACTCCGTACGTGCGCAATATCATACCTAGTATTTATTGTATCATGCATCAAGAAAGAAAAAATTAAAACCAAAGCCCCACTCATATAATATATAATTATGTTATTATATGATCTAAGATTCATACCTGCCCTGATCTAAATAGTAATGAAGTTTTTTTTAATTTCTTGTATAGAAATAAGTATTTTGCAGTTAAGCTCCGCCCCCTAGGTTCACGGCAAATAAAAAAAAATCATCACAATTACGATAGGGCGGGTGGGTGGGCTTACATTTTGCCTGTTTGTTTCAATAAGTCTAGACTTCTTTTCACAAAACATGAAACTTAAAACATGTTTAAATTCGAAAATTTGTATAAGGAAATATCGATTTTGCAATTAGGTTCCGTCCCATTATATCAAAATCCAAATCTCCTTGCAAAAATGTACCATTTTAACCATGTTCTAAGTTTCTTGTTGTGAAAAGATGGCTGTGTATATTAGGAAAAAAAGCAGAATATAAACCCCACCCACCCACCCTATCTTAATTCTGATGATTTTTTTATTCGTCGTAAGCCAAGGGACGGGGTTTAATTGTAAAAATCCTTATTTTTCTACGAGAAATTACCATGTGAAATATGTTCTTAACTAATCGTGTTATACAAAGGAGAACTAAATGTATTAATTAAAAAAGAAAACTAAAAGAGAAGCCCCACCCACTTGTCTCGATCTAAATCGTGATGAATTTTTCATCCGTTTTCAGACCGAGGGGCGGAGCGTAATTGCAAAATCGATATTTCCCTATGGGCAATTCCACGGAAATGTCAGCCTCAGCACATTTTTTTGAAAATTGTTAAATTAATCTAAATGTTACTATTAGTACTTTTAAAAACTTTAAATTTTACTGGCATATATTTGCTTTTACAATATAACACCCGCAGTAAAAATTTCTTGTTATTGAGGAATAATAAAATTGTTCAATGAAATGATAGATATTATATCTTCTTTAACATTGCTAGAAGCAAAGTAAATATCTTGATTTACTTACAGTATAAACCACGGTCTTAAAGAGTGCACCTTTATTGACAATAATGTACAATCGATACTTATCCCAACAGCATCTTTAAAAAAATATTACACTTCGTTCTTCTGATATACGTGATAAATGGTGTAAATAACGATAAGGGACTAATATTCATATTATTCGGAAATATTAAAAATAATTGCAAATCAGGTTACATTATCTCATTTTCTCGTTCTCGCTCTCTATTTTCATTGTACTTTTATTGCCTTGTGATTATTATTAAAAATCGTATCGTTACTTACGCGAAACGGAATAGTTTTCTTAGCTTTGAAATTAAATAATTAGTCTTGACAGCCGTCAATCTACCAATAATTTGATTTTGCTGTGTTAATCAAAATGTCTTTAACATCCACTGAAAGAATAAGAAAACACCGACAAAAATTAAAGAGATTCAGAATACCTAAAATCAACCAACCGAAAATATCAGCAGGAAATATAGGGCAAACATAAGCTGCACAAAGAAAAAAGACATTGCGCTAAAAAAAGTTAAGATATCATGAAAATAAAAAAGAGAAAAGCGAGAAAAGCCAAAATGAAAACAAAGAAATGGAAATTTCAAATGATGGTAATGTCATCAAGTAAATAAATTGTAAATTCGGTAAATCTGAATATTTTTTCTTTTTTGATCCTTTTGCTTTAACATTACATACATTTGTTTATTTCAACTTATGGAGGTTTTCATAAAAAAATAAAATTCGCAAAATCAAATTTTATAATTTTCGAAAATGCTGGAAATGTTTCATTGTACTTCATTTGCGAGAGAATCTCTGTCTAAATAACTTTCAACCAACTTTTTCTTTTGTTTAAAAACGAATTTGCAATTTTTCTTACTTCCGTGACAGCTAATATTCAGAAGTTCGCGTAAGAAACGATGACATGGTGTAAACAACGCATTTTTTTTTCTTTTCAGACATAATCAAAATTAAACTTCTCGGTTTTTGAAAATCCGAAAATTAAATTTTTTATCAATATAACTGTTTTTGTATGATAATTCACAGTTCCATAGAAAATGGAGAAAATTTATCAATTCCACAAAAGGCAGGTTCAAAGGTTTCGCGTAAGTAACGCAAACTTTTAATTAAATTTTGACTAAATTAAATATGACTTTAGTAATATCAAAATTATTAAGAAAAAAGAGAAAACAAATCTCTACGATTAGGTTAAAAGGTTGAAAATAAAAAAACTTTGCACAGTCCCGTACGATTTTAGCCTAAGTAACGGTGGAATTGCCCAAAGAGAAATTTGGAACTTTAAACATGTTTTAAGGGTCCCCAGTCGTCGCCCGCAAAATTGGTTTCAGGGAAAAGAATTATTTTTTGTAACTATGCAACCCAAAGTACCGATCCACGGCAGGTAGCGACCCAAGAGAGGAGAGATTATAGTCACTGTAGGGAGTCCGTCATAAAATGCAAATCGGTAAAAACACCAGATAAGCTTATTTATTTTCAAATGAAGGGTACAGAGAAATAACCATCGAAATCCATTTGTATGTATTTTGAAAGAAATTGAGTTGAAAGTTTAAAATGCTGCGGAAAATAGATTGAGAAACCCACAAGGGGTTCAGTCTAACACAACTTTTTATTTTCTTTATAATGTTTTAAAAATATATAAAATAAACTGTTTATGTTCAAATATAACAGCAAAAAAAAAATTGGTGGAAAGTTGTTTCGACAGAACTTCCCTCGCACCTAAAATACAATGAAACATATCCAGCATTTTACGAGTTAAATTTTTACTTTAGGTACACAATTTTGTGATGAAATCATCAACATTTTGCAAGAACACGTAAATCAATGTGGATTAGACTAAAAATAACAGTATTCCAAAAATTTCTGGGAAAATGGAATAAGTCGAGACTGATTTAATCAATTGAATAAATTGACTCATTCATTAATTTTTTTGAGGCACCAAGGTATACATACTCGTATAAGCAAATCTAAAAAAATATGAATGCAATGATAAATTACAAGTAAAAACTCATCATATTTTGCACATTTTTAGTAGAATCTATTCAGCAAAATTTTGAGATGAAGTTATCAATTTTTTAGTAGCATAATCCTGAACTTGTGGTTTATAAATACATCATTGAGATTTTTCGGCTTTTCGGTTTTTCGATTTTTCGACTTTTGATGTTCCAATTTTTCAGTATTTTAATTTTTGACATTTTCAATTTTTCCATTCTTCAAATTTTCGATTTCTCCATTTTTTTATTTTTCGATTTCTCAATTGTCCGATGCTTCACTGATACGATTTCGCAGTTTTTCAACTTTTCGATATTTTAATTTTTCAATTTTTAAAATTCTAGATTTTTCGATTTCTCGAGTTTTCAGTTCTTCTATGCATATTTCAGTTTTTCAGTTTTCGGAATTCATTAAATTTCTGATTTTCCATTTTTTTTTTTTTTTCATGTTTGGACTATTTATTATTGCTAAAAATAAAAGTAAAAAATAACTACCAAAATTGTGACTAAAAATATGTAAAAATTAATAGAAAATAGAACACATTGCTGCTAAAACATAAAAATAATTGTATTTTCCCCAAAAAATCTATTGCATGATTACTGTTCCACTAGTATTGCTAATTTAGGACGTTAGTATCAAACGCAATGAAAGTATTAATTCTTAGTTAAACAAAAAAATAGTTGAGTGTCAAAATCGAGTGAAAGATGTGAGACGTGTGTAAACAAAAGCATCTAAATAATAACTATTTCCCGCAGAATTTCTGGAGGCTTATAGAGTCGACATTGGCCTCAACGCGCTCCGGTCTGTGGATCATACGAGTTCTCGGGCGACGATGTATCTAACGAGGCAGTTGAAATACCTAATATGTCAGAGCGCAAAAAGTATTTCCCAAAAAACTTTCAAACGTTGATGTCTTTTTAATCGAACAAAACACAATTGGCGAACACAATAATCCAGAATGGTGCGCAGAAAAATCCTTATTACGTTATTTTGGTAAAATTTTCAGAATGAGAGAACAAGTAACACGGCTAAACCTACTGTACTGTGAAAAACATTTTACATCCCTGTAAATCTAGTTCAGCATGTACTCTCCCAAAATCTTTGCATAAAAAATGAAGCAAGGGCAACTGAAGCATTTTGCAGTAACACCAAACTGACAATAAGATAATGCGGTTTGTACATTTTTAGCGGCATCGCCAGACGGCTTAATAAACAAGAATGCTATCGTAGAAATATATAAAATGTCCAATTTAAATAATGCTTAATTCAACGAGATGATAAATTTTGGGAAAATAATATGATAGAGCCCTAGAAAAATTTTATTTATATGCCTTACTTCCGGAGAGAGTAGATTCTCGTTATTAAACAAGTCAACCTATTAGACAAATTGTAAAGAAAAAATTGTACAATTAAAATTTTTTATTTGTATTCGTGTCATGTGTAGTTCATATAAATCTTTTGCCCTTCTAGTATAAACACAAACCGGAATAAATAGTAATATTGGAATAGGTTTACTGGAGATATCACGTAAAAAACGTGCCTATAATACTCTACATCATAGGTGGTGCGGAAAAGAGTATCAAAAAATTAAATTTAAATAAATATGATTGTTCGGGTAAATAAGTGGTTAGTGAAATGATGAGAATCTAAATTTTGTCAGTTTTGTGTATTGATTAATATCTAAATTAACAGATTAATAAAAAATATTTGAATAATTTTTTCAAAGAAAATATTTTAGTAGAATATATAAAATTATAAAAATTTGCATACTTTTAAATCAAATTATGTCAGCAATCAAAGAAGTCGACTTGTAAAAGAGTTTCAACAATGTTGGTCAGCTAAGAGTATTTATGAGTTTTATGACCTAAAGTACCTGGACTGATTACCTGAAAGGGTCGGTCGGCAAGGCTCCCTGCTGTGTAAAACAAAGCCATTTATTGAAACGAAAAACTTTGTAAATAGGGTTGCTTAGTTTCACTTTATTTTCATTATTCAGTATTTTTTTAAAAGCAAATATTTTGATAAATATAAATTTTAAACAAAAATGACCGTGTCTTCCCCATAGAGCTCAATGTTGTCTTTGCACTGATATAAAAGTTGAAGCGAAAAATGCTCTCTCCTCGTCTAAAAATGCAATTTCCTTCGAAGAATGAACGATTAATTAAACACTAAACAATCACTTATTTTAAAAAATATTGTGTCTTCCCCAGAGATTTAGACATAATCTATCAATTGAAATGTCGATTTTTTTTTCAAAGTTGAAATTACGCCCGTAAAATGAAAATCTATTTAGCTCATTTTTCGGTCTGCTACTGGGCACCCTTAAGTTTCTTGTTGTCAAAAGATGACTACACATAAATATTAAGAAAAAAAGGCAAAATGTAATGGGAATAATGTTTGAGTCCACAGTTACGTTCTACTTACATATTAGTAATATAACCGCGAAAGCATTTAAATCTCTTGGATTTATCGTCAGTTCTTTCAGTAATATAACTACTGTATTGTGCTTTCGTAAGGGGATAACTTGATTGCGCTAGTATTGTATGGGCTGCTTCAGCTCAATTTTACATTCAGTCTATGGAAAAAATCTAGACCGCTAGAGACGTTTTCTCGAGTTTTTAGCATTTAAAATTTATCTTCCTAAAGCCTCTTAGAGGCCTACCTCAATCTTATCTTGTATTTAGGTATAACGACTTATGGACTTTAGACGTATCAGAGCCGCTTTATATTTCCTAAAAAGATTGATACATTATGCCATACATTGTCCTCAGCTTTTGGAACAGCTTCACTTTCCATCCAGATCATCATCGCGCCGTCAACAACTGTTCTACTTTCCAACGTCAACGATTGATATTCAAAAACACTCTCTCTTACATGAAATGTGTTCTGACTATACCTGTCATCTAAACGTGTTGGACTTATTTACTTAAATAGTCCTGGACGCCCGATTTTCTGATTATGGTGTGATTTTTTTTATCTAACTTACCTTATATAGGGACAACGGTAATTTATAATTAATAATTAATTTTTTGCGCCCAAAATGTTTAAAACAGATGGTATAGCGTCTATTGGCTTTTTCAGGTAAAAGTTGAGGATTTCTTTGATTTTTCGAATGATTTTGTCACAAATTTATTTAAAACTCGTGAAAAGATTTATCATTATCATTAATATGAATTAAATAATTTGTAACTGTAAACAACGGTTAGTAATTTTTTACAGTAACTTAAATAAAAAGGCATCTCCCAACCTACTTAATCTTAACTTATTTGTGCATTTATTCTGATAGTCAAAAAATGTTCTCTAAAACATCTTTGAAATTATATTTTTATTAATTCTTTTTTTTTTTTTTGTAGGAAACTGTAAGTACCTTATGGCCGGTCTTCGACACCTTTATGAGCAAATCAACCAAATCGGCCCATTTAGACGCCGTAAAACAAGCCGTTGTAATATTAATGGGTTCGTTAGCACGCCATTTGGACAAAGACGATGAAAGAATCAAGCCCATCGTTCTAAGATTAATACAAGCCCTTTCTACTCCATCTCAAACCGTCCAAGAAGCCGTAGGCAATTGCCTTCCCCCATTAATCCCATCAGTAAAAGAAGAAGCTCCTGGTTACATCAACAAACTATTACATCAATTACTAAAAGGAGACAAATACGGCGAGCGCAAAGGCGCCGCCTATGGCCTCGCAGGAATAGTCAAAGGCATGGGCATCCTAGCCCTAAAGCAGCACGATATAATGACGAAATTAACCGACGCAATCCAGGACAAAAAAAATTACAAACACCGAGAGGGCGCTCTCTTCGCTTTCGAGATGCTTTTCCACATGTTGGGAAAATTGTTTGAACCGTACATTATTCACGTATTACCACATCTGCTTCAATGTTTTGGAGATACGAGTCAGTATGTGCGTGCTGCCGCCGATGACACTGCCAAAGTTGTGATGAGTAAACTGTCTGGACATGGCGTCAAGTTGGTTTTGCCATCATTGCTGGATGCGCTGGAACAGGATTCGTGGAGGACTAAGACCGGTTCGGTGGAGTTGTTGGGGGCTATGGCGTACTGTGCTCCTAAACAGTTGTCTTCGTGCCTACCGAGTATTGTACCTAAGCTCATTGAGGTGTTGAGCGACTCACACATGAAGGTACAAGAGGCGGGAGCGGCGGCGTTGAAAGTTATTGGCTCGGTTATACGAAATCCGGAAATCCAAGGTAAAAAGTTTGAATGTTTATAGTTATACCATTGTTTAAGTATATTATAGTTGGACAACCTAATACAAATTTTACTTCGCCTAAATAGTGAGCTTTAGGACAAGGAATCCAGGGGGCGTGGGACAAATTTTTCGTCAACGCGCATTTTCACTACAGTGAGCCAACGTATTAGGTTTATTTTACTCTAAATCAGATGGCGCCATCAAACATTAGCAAAGGCAAACACCCTTTACTCTACTCTTATACGAGGAGTTATCCATAAATCCATAATTAACATTGTTCCGTAAACAGTAATGTGTATAAACATATATGTACAAACTATGAAAATATACTTGACATTAAAAATATGAAGCAACGCGTTGTAACGTGATAAGAAAGAATTGAATTTAATTGAATTTGACGCATATTTTTATTTGACTATATCTGAAGACTGACAGAAACTTTCCAAGGGTTTTTAAACTGGTATAATTGTTTAGTTTTACAAGATTAAAGTAAAATAAGATTTTAAGTAAAATTTAGATTCGTGGTGTTACAAAAATATTAACACAAAATGAAAATATATGTTCAAAGTAAATAACAGAATGACATAAACTTTCGGCGTTAACATTACAAATAATTACAAGAGAGAAAAAAACGCATAAACAACTTAAGAGGCATGTTTGTAATATCGAGTTGTTAAAGGCTGCTTTGAAGACTGTTTGTTTCTATGAAAAACAATTGCTGTTATCGGACATTTTGGTAGATTTTGTTCCAAAAATCCGAGATAACTAATTGTTTCTTGAACTAGTTTCCGTAACTTCTAAAATTTAAAAAGGATACGCCGTTCTGCTGTAATAAAATCTAGAATAAGGTCAAAATCACACTAATATTACATCTGATTTTGTTAACCACATGAATATAATTTACATTAAAATAAGTTACAGACATTGTTTGAAATGTTTATTATAGTTCGAAAACAAGATAAAATAAATAAATAAATAAATAAAATGTGCAGTTTATAAACTTCAGAATTTTAGTATAAAAATAATCATGTTTGAAGCTTTATTTTGTCTGTTCCATTTTATTGGGTGTATTGGGCACCTCTCGGGACATAACACCGACATCAGTGCACCGACCCAACGTTCTTTAACCGATGGGATGATTTATTACTTCCGTTATGCTGGCCCTACACACAGCGATTTGGTTTTCGGATTTTCGGCTAGATCTGCACAGTTAACTCTGCGCACTGCACACTGACATAGAGTATTTTGTTCACGCGAGCATCAAAAACATTACGCCGAAAGCACTTCTTCAAGTGTTATTTTTTTTAAGATGTCATATTTGTCAGCGTTTCCAAAATTTTCTTCTTTACACAGGTCAACTAATTTTTCGTAAACCGCATTTTAAAATTTTTGTTATTGTATTTTTTACTTTTTAATTTTCTAAGGCATGAAAAAATCCCTTATAGGTTTCTATGAATTTATTAACGAAATCAACTGATAACTTGCGCGCCATTTTGTGTTAATACCAATAGTGATTATGATAATTTTATAATTATCATTTGAATGAAATTGTGTTCTTCACTTCGCGAACGACAGCAAACAATTTAAAATTACCGTTAGTCAAGCACGTGAAAATCCATCTCTCCCAAATATGTCTTTCTTGGCACGATTTGTAATCCGAAGTCTCCCTCCACATGCAATTTTTCGTCTCCTGAGAACTTGTTTGATCTACAGACCAAAGCTCACTCAGGCCAATATCGGCTTTAAGCGATTTATCTATAAACCGATATTCGTTAGAGTTGATGTGATACAATACATCCACTACGAAGAACTAACCCATTTCGACCATTGGACTTTACAACGAATAAGTGAACAAAGTTCTTGAACATCTTAACGATTTAATACATAATGTTCCCGAATGACAAAATTTACATTTCAAATTGTATTATCAAATTACACTCTCCAAAATTTGTCACGAACAATGAAATGACGCAATCTCCAAATTTTACAATAGTAAAATTGTAGTTTGGCCCCGTTTACGGTTTATGCATCCGTGTCGAGTTTTCACCTTAGACGTCAAGATTTTTTGAAAAAAAAAATCAACATTTTCCAATTTATAATGTTATGTATTTAAATTTTAAAAAGTAGAATAGTCCTGATCTTGTGATTTATACCTAAATACGCTACTGGGATTTTTCGGCTTGTCGATTTCTCGATTTTTCAACTTTAAATGTCTCAATTTTTCAATATTTCAATTTTGGGCTTTTCCGATTCCTCCATTCCTTAAATTTTCTATTTCTCGATTTTTTTTATTTTTCGATTTCTCAATCTTACGATGTTTCAATGATACGATTTCTCAATTTTTGTCCTCTTCAATTTTACGGTTTTTTCAAATTTTCACGTTTCTAAATTTTCAGTTTGCCGATTTCTAAAGTATTTTTTTATTTGTCCATTTCTGGATTTCCTAAAGTTTCGATTTTTCACATCTTCAATTCCTCAATTTTTCGATCTTTTAAGATTACGATTTTTCAATTTTACTTTTTTAGATTTTCGATTTCTCAATTTTCCAATTTTTTAATTTCTCAATTTTTTGAATATTTCTTTCAGTTATGAAATTTTTCAATATTTCAATTTTTCGACTTTTCGATTTTTGAATTGATGGATTTTTTTTTGATTTCTCGCTTTTTTCCTTTTTCGATTTTCATTTATTGTAAACTTTAGATTTTTCAATTCTGGGACTGTTTAATGCTTCGATTTCTCAATTTTTAAACTTTTCGATGTTTTAATATTTCATTTTTTAAAATTCTAGGTTTTTCGATATCTCGAGTTTTCAGTTCTTCTATATTTCAATTTTTCATTTTTCGATTTTTTGAATTTTAATTTTTGACTTTCCAGTTTTTCTTTTTTAAAATTTTTCGATTATTCTATTTTTTAATTTCTCAATTTATCGAATTCAGATGTTTCGTTGTTTTGATTGTTCGATTTCTCAATTTTTCAATTTTTGACTTTCCTTTTCGGCTTCCGACTCCTCAATTTCTCGATCCTCCGATTTTTCGATTTCTCGAAGTCTCAGTTTTTGAATTTTTCGATGTTTCGATTTTTGGATTTCTCGGTTTTTCAATTTTTTTCTTTTGAGCTTTTCAATTTCTGGATTTTCCAATTTTTCAGTGCCTCGATTTTTCAATTTTTCAAATTGAATTGGATCTCTCGATTCTTCAATTTTGCGATATTTTAATTATTCATTGTTTTAAATTTTAGTTTTTTCGATTTCTCGATTTTTTGACTTTTCAGTTCTTCAGTATTTAAATTTTTGAATTTTTCAAATTTTTGCGTTAAATTTTCAGTTTTCTGATTTCTCAATTAATCTATTTTTGATTTTCCCACTTCTCAAAGTTTCGATTTTTCAGTTCTTCAATTCTTCGATTTTTCGACTTCGCTTTATTGGTTTGTCGATTTCTCAATTTTTGGATATTTATTTCAGTTTTGATATTTTTCAATACTTCGATTCTTTCATTTTTCGACTTCTAGATTTTTCTATTTTTTATTTTTGGATTTTCAGTTTTTTGTTTTTTATTTTAATTTCTCAATTTTTCAACTTTTTCATATTTTAATTTTTAAATTTCTAGATTTTTCAGTTTCTCGAGTTTCCAGTTCTATATTTTAATTTTTTAAATTTACGAATGTTTAAATTTTTTGAGATCTCAATTCATTGAGATTCGGATGTTTCGATGTTTTGATTATTCAATCTCGCTTTATCAATTTTTTCCATATTTAAGTTTTCGATTTTTCGATTTTGGCCTACTTCGGTTTCTCAATTTTTTGATTTTTCGACTTCTCGATTTTTCGACTCCTCGATTTTTTTTTGTCTTTTGATTTTTCGATTTCTCGATGTCTCAATTTTTGAATTTTACAATGTTTCGATTTTTGATTTATCCGATTTTTCAATTGTCCAATTTTTTAAATTCTCGACTTCTCGATTCGTTGATTTTTCAGTTTTTCGATTATTAAATTTTAGATTTTTATTTTTGTTTTTATTTTTGATTTTGTGATGTTTGGATTTCTCCATTTTTCAGTTTTAGGATATTTTAACTTTTCAGTGTTTTAAATTTTAGATTTTTCGATTTTTTAGTTCTTCAATATTTTTTTATTTTTCAAATTTTGACGTTTCTGAATGTTTAGTTTTTGGATTTCTCAATTAATCTATTTTTTTATATTCCCATTTCTCCACTTCGTAATGTTTCGATTTTTCAATTCTTCAGTTCTTCAATTTTTCGATTATTCAGGTTTTTGATTTTTCAATTTTTCGATTTTTTAAGTTTGCGATTTTTAGACTGATTTTTTGACTTTTTTGTTTCTCAATTTTTTAATTTCCTAATTTTTTGATATTTCGTTCAATTTTGTGATTTTTCAGTTTTTCGATTTCTCAATTTTAACTTTTCAATTTTTGAAATTATTAATTTTTTTCGATTTTTTGAGTTTTCAGTTCTCTATATTTCAATTTTTCAATTTTCGGAATTTTTAAATTTTCGATTGTCCAATTTTTTTTTATTTTTCGATTTTCCAATTTTTCGATCTTTCGATTTTTGAATTAACCGATTGTTCAATTTCTCGATTTTTAAATTTTAGATTTTCCAATTTTTATTTTTTTGATTTTTTTATGTTTCGATTTCTCGATTTTACAATTTTCCCATATTTGAATTTTTCAGTGTTTTAAATTTTCGATTTCGAGGATTTACTGTGTTACAGTAGTCATCAGTCATTACTCATCAAGAACGATTATTGCTGTGCGTTAAAATGCCTACATACTGATAAGCACGTCCATACAAGACACATTTAAGGCTGTTTTAGTATAATTTTTGCAATTCTAAATTTATTTCTTGATGTCTAAATCGTATATATTTAAATGGTGATGAATATTTTGTGATACAATCTTAGGATAAAATGCATTTTAGTTTCAAAAATAATATGTATTTAATGATTTGACTACTGTTAATAAAAAAAAATACGTAAGAAGATGTTCATATTGAATTAATTTGGTGTTCATAGTTTGATGATAATCCATGTTATTCTGGAGGCAAATTAGATGACTTGTTACTTATTAATTAAAGTAGTGGTCGTTTAATTTCGTATACCTTTAAAGTGGACGAAGGGACGCGTATTTGTTAGCCATGCAGTTCATGGATAATAGGTATACCGCGATAATATTAAATTTTTGTTACCTTAACCTTGAAACAGGTATGCACTACATACACATATATTACAGTAAAGTCTTCAACACGTACGTTTGCTTATTTTGTGACTGCTCCCCGTACAACGTACTGATTAATACGTCCGTTTACTACCTTATCGACATCACGTGCTTACGGACTATTTTTACCCCCTTTCGTAAGGTACCGCCACTTCATAGTGAAGCGAGTGAGATGTAAAATATATATTCATTCTTTTCTACATGGGAAAGTGATTGTCCGTATAGGTTGTCCAACTATAATATACTTAAACAATGGTTATACTAAAGAACGAAAAATTAACCAGTTTTTTACACTTTTCAGCGATCGTCCCCGTCTTGCTAAAGGCGCTTCAAGATCCCTCAAACAAAACAAGCGTTTGCCTCCAAACACTTCTCGATACCCAATTCGTTCATTTCATTGACGCTCCGTCCCTCGCTCTCATAATGCCGGTAGTTCAACGCGCTTTTATGGACCGATCGACTGAAACGCGCAAAATGGCTGCCCAAATCATAGGCAACATGTATTCTCTTACCGACCAGAAAGACCTTCTTCCGTACCTTCCAACCATCATTCCCGGTCTCAAAACCTCTCTTTTGGACCCAGTCCCGGAAGTACGCAGCGTCAGCGCTCGTGCCCTGGGTGCCATGGTGCGTGGAATGGGTGAATCTAGCTTCGAAGACTTATTACCGTGGTTGATGCAAACTCTGACATCAGAAAGCAGTTCAGTGGATAGATCAGGAGCTGCACAAGGTCTTAGTGAAGTCGTTGGTGGATTGGGTGTAGAAAAATTGCACAAATTGATGCCAGAAATTATTGCTACAGCTGAGAGGACTGACATCGCTCCTCATGTCAAGGATGGCTACATTATGATGTTTATCTACATGCCGGTTGTGTTTACTAACGACTTCACCGTGTACATAGGGCAGATCATCAATCCGATATTGAAGGCCTTAGCGGATGAGAATGAATACGTGCGAGATACAGCGTTGAAGGCTGGACAGAGAATTGTAACGCTCTATGCAGATTCGGCAATTTTGTTGCTGCTGCCGGAGTTGGAGAAAGGGTTATTTGATGAAAACTGGAGGATTCGTTACAGGTATACTTATTGTCAACATTAATAATATTTTCTCACTAAATCTTTTTTTTTCAATTTTATTAGTTCGGTCCAACTCCTTGGCGACTTACTCTATCGCATTTCCGGAGTAACAGGGAAAATGAGCACTGAAACGGCGAGTGAAGATGATAATTTCGGTACAGAACAATCCCATCAAGCCATCATTAAATCCCTAGGTGCTGAACGTCGCAATCGCGTCCTGGCTGGTCTGTACATGGGTCGTTCTGATGTTGCTTTAATGGTACGTCAAGCGGCTCTTCACGTTTGGAAAGTGGTCGTCACAAACACGCCTCGTACTCTTCGTGAAATTCTACCAACCCTTTTCGGATTGCTGCTAGGTTGCCTAGCTAGCGACAGTTACGATAAACGACAAGTTGCTGCAAGAACTCTGGGCGATTTAGTGAGAAAACTGGGTGAAAGAGTGCTTCCTGAGATTATACCCATTCTAGAAAGAGGGTTGCAGTCGGATCAGCCCGATCAAAGGCAAGGTGTTTGCATTGGATTGTCGGAAATTATGGGTTCGACGTCGAAAGAGATGGTTTTGACCTTTGTTAATTCGTTGGTTCCAACCGTAAGGAAAGCGTTGTGTGATCCACTGCCGGAAGTAAGACAAGCAGCGGCTAAGACATTTGACAGCTTGCATTCAACGGTGGGAGCGAGAGCTCTGGATGATATTTTACCCACCATGCTTAATCAATTGGTAAGTTATAATTTATTTTAATGCCAGAAACATAAATTACAGTATTTTATGTTTAAATTCATAGGTTTTCAAAAATTCTTTATTTCCAAAATTCTGTCTTATTTATATATCCCCGTTTTCGATTTAACTAGATTTACAATCTATATAAAAGTAAGACCAATAATATTACTCAACATTTTTTTTTTATTATTCCAAAACACAATAACTTTTAATAAGTCAACTTTTGAGGAGGTTTTACAACTCTTTCACTTCGTGTAACATACATAATATTATTTGATATTTCTGATGTAATCAAGTAGTCTCTTTTTTAAATATTTATAATTTTTACGAAGTACTGAATTGTTTTCTAAATTTTTGACCAAATAAGATCTTGGAAATTTCAGTTTGTTTAATATCCTTGTACCCATGTCTTTTTAGAAAAATCTCAAATATGTATTATATTTTCTCCTTCCTTAAATTTTGTTACATTATTTTTTGCATTTTTATCATAGTACGTTTCCTGCTTTATTTTATTGTTTTCTCATGGTATTACTAACATCTTGTACTCTTGATATAACAACTCTCTTTTAATTGGTAACTTTGACCGTTAATATTCTAGACATAAGTAATTGTGATGATGAGACTCCTAAACCTGCCAGTGGAGTTGTTCTGTAGTTCAGTAAAAATAAGTTATAATCTCCTTGAAGAAAAATATATTTTTTCAGCATTTTCCTAGCAATTTGAACTTCTTTCTCCGCTAAACCGTTACTCTGGCTATGAAGAGGGCTAGATGTTGCAATAGTAAAGTGCCACTCATTTGCAAATTGTTTATAATCGAAACTATTAAATGGCATATTGTCTGACATAATTACTTCTGGAATTCCATATTTGCTACAAATTGTTTCTAAAATTGATATTACTGAATTACTTGTCTTGTCTTTTAATTTTTCTACTTCCAACCATCTAGAAAAATAATCAACTACTGTAAGATAATTTACACCATCAAATTCTGCAATATCCATTCTAATTGTTTGAAATGGATATTCTGGTGTTTCATGCTTCAACAATAGTTCTTTAACATTAGTTACACTGAATCTGTAACAAATCATGCACGACATACTCATTATTCCTGGCCAGTATACTGTTGCTTTTGCATTTAGTTTTGTCTTGGTGATGCCAAGATGTTTCATGTAAACTATTTAGCATTAATTTTCTTACATTTCTAGGTACAATTAACCTGTTTTCATAATATAATAACTGATTTTCCAAATAGATATGATTTTTTTAATTAATTTTTTAAGTTCCCCCTGACAATTATATTTTCTATCTGGTCAGCTATTTATACAAAATTCAATGATTTTATTTAACACTGGATCATCATTAGTTTGTTTTACAAATAATTTAAACTGTTGTTGTGTGAAGCTCATTTCCGCAACTCTGACAGTGTGTACAATGTCTTTCATAAATAATTCTTCATTTACATTTTCTTTAACGAAATTCCTAGACAACAAATCTGCAATATACACTGAGTTACAAAAAAAATGGCGCACTTCAATACAACATTTCGACTTTTTTTCTTAATGTGTCGACTTATTTCAGCAACAAGAAACTTCTGAAATGGTAAATTTTTGTAGGAAAGTATCGATTTTGCAATTAGGTTCCGTCCCTCGCTGTGACAACGAATGAAAAATTTATCACAATTAAGCTTGGGATGGATATGGGTGGGGCTTAATTTTTGGCTTGTTTTTTTCTTAATATTGTTTGTTTGAACAACGCGGTAGATACTCAAAAACAGGTCTTTTACTTCTTGTGGAAAAATAAGGATTTTGCAATTAAGCTCCGCCTCCTTGGCTCACGACGAATAAAAAATCATCACAATTGAGATAGGGCGGGTGGGCGGGGCTTATATTTTGCCTTTTTTTCTTAATATACGTAGCCATCTTTTCACAACAAGAAACTTAGAACATGATTAAAATAGTACATTTTTGCAAGGAAATATCGATTTTGCAATTATGGGGCGGAGCTCAATTGCAAAATCGATATTTTCATTTTTAACATGTTTCAGGTTCCACGTTGTGAAAAGAAGTCTACACATATTAAAACAAAAAGGCAAAATGTAAGCCCTATCTCAATTGCGATGATTTTTTTTTTATTCGCCGTGAACCAAGGGGGCAGATCTTAACTGCAAAATACTTATTTCTTTACAAGAAATTAAAAACATGGTTTTGAGCATCGTATTGTTCAAAAAATACTATGTAATAGTATAAAGAAAAAAGCAAAATATAAACCCCGCCCACCCACCCCATCGCAAATGTGACGATTTTTTTATTCTCAGAAACTTAAAACACGTTTAAAATGATAAATTTTTGTAAGGAAATATGGATTTTGCAATTAGTCTCCGCTCCTAGGTTTGCCAACGAATGAAAACTTCATTAGTATTTAGATCAGGGCACTTATGGCTGAGGCTGAATCTTTGGCTTTAATTTTTTCTAAATATATATACATAGTATTCTTTTAATAACACGACACTCAAAAACATGTCTTACGTAGTAATTTCTTGTAGAGAAATAATAAGGATTTTGCAATTAATTTCCGTTCCTTTGGCTTTTGACAATTAAAAAAATAATCATCACAAGAGAGAAAGGGTGGGTGGGCGGGCCTTAGATTAGGTCTTTTTTTTTTTGTTTATATACGTAGTCGTCTTTTCAGAACAAAAAACTTAAAACCGAGTTTTTTATTGTCGAGAGACGTTCGTTTAACGCTAAAGTTTTTATTGGTCAAATTAAAAACGATCAGTTACCCCATTTTCTCGAGAATGTGAGAAAACATCTTTATATAACAATGATAAAATAAGAATTATAACGTTCATAACATTTTGTTCGATTGTGGTTTAATTAATAATTTTAGTCCTGTTTTAAGAAGACAAATTCATTCAAATCAATAGAGAAATATGTATTTTGCAATTACGCTCCGCCCCTTCAGTCTAACAACGAATGAAAAATTCATCATAATTGAGATCGGGGCAGGTGGGTGGGGCTTAATCTTTGTTTCTTTAATACATATTTAGAATTTTCTTGCAGCAACAGGATAGTTAAACATGTTTTCAGATTCTTGTTGGGAAAAGACTTCGTATATTAAGAAAAAATTGAAAAATATAAGCCCCCACCCACCCACCCCTTCTCAATTCTAATGAATACTTTATTCATCGTCAGCTGAAGGGCGGAGTTTAGTTGTCAAATTCTTATTTCTCTACAAGAAATTACCATATGAAATATGTTTTTGAAAGGGTAGAATTTTTTAGAGAAATATTGATGTTACTCTTAAACTCCGCCCTTCGGTCTAATTAGGAATGAAAAACTCATTACAATTGAGATCGGGGCGGGAGGGTGATGCTTAATTTTTATTTTGTTTTATTTATTTTTTTAATACATAATATAGTTTTTTTTTTTCAACAACCGGATAATTAAACATATTGTCAGTTTTTTGTTGGGAAAAGAAGACTTCGCATGTTAAGAAAAAATGGACCAAGTATAACCCCCGCCCACCCACCCCTTCTCACTTGTGATAAATGCTTTATTCATCGTGAGCTGAAGGGCGGAGTTTAGTTACAAAATCCTCATTTCTCTGCAAGAAATTACAATATGAAATATGTTTTTAAAAGGGTAGAATTCTCTAGAGAAATATTATGTTACGATTACAGTCCGCCCCTCGTCTGATTAGGAATGAAAAACTCATCATAACTGATATCGCGGCTGGTGGGTGGGGCTTAATCTTTGTTTTTTTTTATATACATAGTTTTCTTTCAACAATTTTTTGTCGCAAAGAACAAGAGATATTATAATAAAAAACAAAGTCAATCTATTATTCAATAATTTTGGACTGTACTCCTAATGTAAGTTGTACTTTCTCGTTTTTCTCGAAAAACCGAAGAAATGAAAACCTGAAAAATCAAAAAATTACAAACACGTGAAATTTCATATCGAAAAACTGCAAATACTAAAAATTGAAACGTCCAAAACTGGAAAATTTAAAAATGAAAACTCGAAGAGATATCGTACAATTAAAGGAAAAAAAACCCAAAAAATTGAAAAATTGACGAAACGAAAAATTGAAAATAAGTGAAATTGAAAAAATAAAAAATTATTTATAAAATCGGGCCATTGAAAAATTGTAAAAAATAAAGAAAATCAAAAAACTGAAACGAAAAACTGCAAAATGTAGAAATTGAATTGAAAAGTTGAAAAATTGAAAAATTAAATTTAAATTTCAAAACTCGAAAAAACGACGGAACAAAAAAAAATGAAAAATTGAAGAAAAAATTTAAATAAAATAAGTTGCCACTGAGATTGAGACTGCTCAGTCGGCCAGCCAAATTTATCTGATTGATTCCCCATCACTTCGGCTGTGCCTAACTCTGGTAATGAGAGAATTTAAAGTCTACCTGTCATTTATTAAGCTTTATCACTCATTGATAATATTATTTCCGAGTATTTTAGAACATGCGACTTTTCTAACATTTAGTTAAACCAATTTTGGAATATTTTGACGTTATTTGGTTTTCACTTTATTAATTGTCTGAAAAGAGTGCAACGTAAATTAATTACCTAATTATTTTCCAAAGTGGGTGTTTAAAGGATAATTATTCTTATGAAATTTACTCGTGAGTACCTAGGCAATCATCGTGTTATGTAACGTTATATGTCCCAAGTTCCATCGTACAAACTTTATTTCCCACAGTCTTCTTGATAACATAACTAAGTAGATATGTTAATAAGTTCTGTGAGAATTTTGATTTTTTGGAGATAATTTGGCATGTTTTATTAATATTTTAAAAAACTTCAGTTACCCTAATTTTTAGTTGTGAGATAAATTTATTGTTGGGTTTACAATAAAACATATTATGTATTTAAACACCTTTTTCAGAATGACAAAGACACAGATGTCGTCGAATGGACTCTCGACGGTCTTCGTCAAGTAATGGCCATCAAATCTCGAGTAGTACTGCCCTACTTAGTCCCACAACTAACAGCTCCTCCCGCCAACACAAAAGCCCTCTCAATCCTCGCTTCAGTGGCCGGGGAAGCCCTCAACAAGTACCTTCCTCGCATTCTCCCTGCCCTGCAAACAACTCTGGCAGCATCTCGCGGTACGCCAGACGAAGCTCAACAGCTCGAGTATTGTCAAGCCGTCGTCTTGTCTGTTAGCGAGGAAGTGGGTATCAGAACCGTGATCGACACCATGCTCGAGAACACCCGGAACGAGAACGCTGACCAGCGGAGGGCCGCTGCGACGCTGCTGTGCGGTTTCTGTGCCAACTCAAAAGCCCAGTATACTGCACACGTGCCGCAGCTACTGAGAGGATTAATTCATTTGTGTACAGATAGTGATAAGGACGTGTTGCAAATGTCATGGGAGGCTCTGAATGCCGTCACGAAGACGTTGGATCCGAAGCTACAAACGACGTATGTGAGTGACGTCAGGCAGGCGGTGAGATACGCGATGTCGGATATGAAGGGGGCGCAGCTGTTGCCCGGATTTTGTTTGCCAAAAGGTAAGGAAATTCTCTAAATCGTCACCTTAGAACTGGTTTGCCGCATATCCAGATCGCGTCCGAGGGATTTTCGCCTCTACTGTTTAGTGCAGATTTGCCGCATGTCGCACTTGGGCGAAGCGAAACATAGTTTAGATTCAGTGCTGATTTGCCGCATGTCCAAGCAGAAATCGATACAGTACCGTTATCCGTTTTTACGTACTTCCTTGCTGTTTTGCTTTTCAGCGTTAGGTTTGGGGTTGGGAAAGAAATCGTATTCAACTTCACGCGCAGAACAATAAGAATAATGTGAAATAAATAAAAAAGAGACTTAACAATTTTGATGAATCTGAAATTAAAAAAAAACAACTGTAATTTGTGCAACTCTTTTTCTGTTGTTATAGATGTTACAAATATTTTCGATTTTTTTTTAAGGAAGATTGAGTTTCAAATTATTAGATTCGAAATTTTACAAATTTAAATTTTAAATAGATTTGTTGCTCGTTAAACAAATAATTTAATTTTTTACTTAACAGTAACATTTTTATTTAATGATTTCTCGGAAATGATTGAACTTATTTTCTCTAAAATTTTAGTCAACAAAATTCATAATGCTGCATACCTATATTCGTATTTGTAGAAATGATATTTCCACATCAATAATTACAGATAATAATAGATACATTTTTCAGAGATAATTAAGATTAAGATTTCTTAATCAACTTCACGCGCAGAACGAGTAATACGGCAAAGACTCATAATGTGAAATAAATGAAAAATTGAAACGATATTAGAAATCTCGTGGTGAAGTAGTTAACTAAGTATAACGAACAATGAATGTTAAGTTATTGATGTTTTGATTCGATTTTTTCTAAATATTTTTAAAATAAAGAGACTTATTTTTCTTTATTTTTATATAAAATCTACATTTGATAAAACTCATTGCAGTCATTCATTTTTCCTAAAAACTGTAGAATCCAAATATTGCATTGTTAATTTCCATTGTTAAGTGGTGAATTGTGAACGAAATACGGAGTACCAAATTTAAATGTGTTTTACAGAAAGGAACTATTTTTACAAAGGATAATAAAATGATATTTTCTTTGCATTGGCGGAGTAAAGGCGGCTCGTTGACTCGCTGCAGTCCTACTAAAATTGCAGCTTAATATGTAATTTTTTTATATAAAATATTCAAACTGATAAAGAACACTCGGGTAAAAATAGGTTGTTGTCTCAAACAATTAGATTCCAGTATTGTATTACATTACGTGGATATTGACTACAAGTAGCTATTGTCGGGCAACCAGAGAAAATTAGCAGTGATACTGTTTAAAACTGTAAATGCAGTATATTTGGATTTGGAAATAAATCATTCGTTTCCATGTCTTATGTATCAGTGACAATTATGTTGACTGCAACCCAAATCTATTTGATTACCCCTAACTCCATAATATCTAGTACTTAATATAGTTATACGCTTTTCAGTTGAAAATGAAAGAATTATTTGTACTGGTAGTTGTAAACAATTGTATAAATATTTCCGTTGGATTCCTTTGCGAACTCTTTGTCAATTATTATTTATGATACTATGGTATGATCCCAAACTGTTTAGAGAAGAAAGGGAGGCTGTGGTGTGCGCACGTAAACTTGTCCTATTTCTTTCCAATACATTAGCTCTCTGTCTATCATCTCCTACGTGCGCTTATCATAGACTCCTTTTATCTAAAAAGTATGCAGTATTTCCCGCGCAAACCAGCAGTCAGATCTCTAGATTGCCTGGCCTCGTGATTTGTCACGTTTTTTTAAATAACATACAGTTTTCTAAATTTGCTGAAGCACTACTAAACTACAAAAATAAATAAAATGGTAAATTATATTCTCAAATTATAACTCCGAATTAAACATGCCGTGAACCCTACTAAGTATAAATTAAACGTCATTGTTTGCTAACTACATAATTGATTAAACTTATTATTTTAAATAAGGTAAGGTATTAAACTAGACAGAGACTTGAATACTTTTTTTTACTAATTTTAATAATCCTTATAAATGAGTAGATATTTAATAATAAAGCAATACATATTATTATACCCAAAAAATGTATTTGCATGCTTTTGCATAAACTTCCTGCACTTATAATTTATGAACAGTATTTTGGACGATGCCCAATTAATTGATAAATAATAGTATGTTGATGTAAAAAGAGTATCATTACATTACTTCAAATTCTTTTAACTTTCTTTATGTAGTATATCCTGTTTCCAAAATCTCAAGAAATTAGGGTTATGGTAATTCAATTCAATCTGGATGCTTAGGGTAAAATCTCAATAAACAACAAATGAAAAAGTATGTTATTTTTTAAAATTTATATAACATTTTTTGCTGTAAAAGTTGGAGATGACGTTATATGATGGGGAGGATGATTACAAACAGCGTTTTATCAACCGGAAACGAGAGATCTATGTTTTCGTATTATAGGAGTCATGAAACGTTGAGAAGCCATAAAAGTAGCCAGTCGCCCGATGAACCTGATTACAATACTTTCTTAGCTTACGCTCGAGACATAAAAAAAATAAACAATAACATTTGGATTTAATAGCTTTTGATATCTGGTATACCTAAACAGTGAGTCAATTTTATGCGGCTATTATTACCATTACATATAACCATCCACTTAAATTAATTAAATTAATTGGTAAAAATACCCATAAATAAGTTATTGTAAAGTTATTTTTATTTACACGCGTATAATTGCACAACAATAATTGTTAGACAAATAGAATGATAAAGAAAGGCAATGTCATATTAAAAAACAAATTACCCGTTTCGATGTAAGGTACCTTATATAAGTTAACAACATACATCTATTTAGTTATAGGTAAAATTCTAATACGGAATTTATTCTTGAAGTAAGTCGTAAATTGTAAATTGCTATAAATTCGGAAATAATTCTTTTTAAAAGATACAAGTCAAAAATGTATTAGGCATGATTGTTAAGAAACATTCCAATTCTGTTTCAAATTTGCAAGCATTTTATGTCAAAAGCTGATTTTTGTAAACGTTCCAGTAATAAATTTCGAAGCAAAATCCACCGAAACAGATTTTGCTTCGAAATTTTAATTTTCATATTACTTTTACAACATTTTAATTTAAAAAATTAAAAATGTATCTATTATTTGTGATTATTGATGTAGAAATATCGTTTCTACAAATAAGAATACTACAAAAAATTGTGAACTCTTTTACTGGTATGCAGCGTTATAAATCTTGTTCACTAAAACTTTGGAGAAAATAAGTTCAATCATTCCCGAGAAAAAATTAAAGAAAAATGTTACTGTTTAGTAAAAAATTAAATTATTTGTTTATCGAACAACAAATCTATTTGAAATTTAAATTTGTAAAATTTCGAATCTAATAATTTGAAAATATTTGTAACATCTATAACAGAAAAAGAGTTGCACAAATTACAGTTGTTTTTTTTTTAATTTCAGATTCATCAAAATTGTTAAGTCTCTTTTTTATTTATTTCACATTATTCTTATTGTTCTGCGCGTGAAGTTGAATACGATTTCTTTCCCAACCCCAAACCTAACGCTGCAAAGCAAAACAGCAAGGAAGTACGTAAAAACGGATAACGGTACTGTATCGATTTCTGCTTGGACATGCGGCAAATCAGCACTGAATCTAAACTATGTTTCGCTTCGCCCAAGTGCGACATGCGGCAAATCTGCACCAAACAGTAGAGGCGAAAATCCCTCGGACGCGATCTGGATATGCGGCAAACCAGTTCTAAGGTGACGAAATAACTCTCGACTAATTTTTTTGTTAGGTATAGCACCAATTTTGCCAATCTTCCGTGAGGCAATTCTGAACGGAGACGGTGATGAAAAAGAAACAGCCGCCCAAGGTTTAGGAGAAGTAATTAAAGTGACTAGCGCTCAAGCACTTCAGCCGAGTGTAGTCGCCATCACAGGACCACTGATTAGAATTCTAGGAGACCGATTTAGCGCAAACGTAAAGACGGCGGTTTTGGAAACCTTGGCGATTTTGCTAGCGAAGGTAAGATATCACAGATTTTTAAAACTTGTAATAAACAAAACAAATTAGGTCGGCGTGATGTTGAAACAATTTCTGCCACAACTGCAAACCACTTTTGTAAAAGCCTTGAACGATCCCAATCGTGTGGTTAGATTGAAGTCTGCTGCTGCTTTGAGTTACTTAATCGTTATTCATCAGAGGGCGGATCCTCTGTTTATGGAATTACACAATACTGTCAAAAATACGGACGACTTCGCTATTAAGTAAGATTCGTATTATATTGCTCAAAGTTTTATCTGTACTTATACGAATTTTTTATGAAGAGAGACCACGCTACATGCTCTACGAGGTATAATTACGCCTGCCGGGGACAAAATGTCTGACACAGTGAAAAAACAAATACATTCAACACTAATATCGCTTCTGGGTTGCCAAGAAGATGTAACTAGGACCTGTGCTGCCGGTTGTTTGGGTGCCATTTGTCGTTGGTTATCACCTGATCAGTTGGACACAACCTTTACAGAACATCTATTAAGTAATTTTTACGAAATATGTTTCTGTTGTTTAATTTAATTGTAACTTTATCAGTTGATGACGTTCAAACGGATTGGACGTTGCGACACGGCCGAGGCGCTGCCTTATCCGTAGCTTTGAAAGAAACACCGTCGAGCATTTGGCAAGAACAATACAAAACAAGACTGATTCAAACCATTTTGAGTGAACTTTCAGCGGACAGAGTTATAATAACGCAAGCAGCTGTCCGCTCTTGCGGTTATCTGCTTCAGTACTTGATGTTGAATGATGAAGCTTTACCTACAGGATTATTGGGTCCTTTTGTCAGGGTAAGTTACAGCAAAATATCCTCATTAACTTTGCTTAAATTTAGAGTTTAAAACTTCTGCCGTTTTCAGACAATGAATAATAACAATAACGATGTTAAACAACTTTTGGCAAGGGTTTGTATTCATCTAGCGAAGACTGTACCACAGGAGAAGATGTCGTCCGATTTGTTAAAACTATTACTACCAACATTAGTCAATGGAACTAAAGAAAAGAACGGTTACGTAAAAGCTAATTCAGAGATTGCTTTAATTGCAGTTTTGAGGTTAAAAGACGGTGACGCCATGCAGCAGGTAAGATTAGTGATTTCTAAAGACTTTTTATGCAGTGCATATTTTTACTTGCTTTTATGTTTTTTCGATCTTTCATGACCACCAGAGTATCAGGGATAGGAACAATTATTTTTAAAAAGTAATGCATTACAATTACTCATTACTTGAAAAGGAATTGAATTACAGTAATGAATTATTTGTAAATGAATTGCTTCCAACCACTGGATTGTAAACAGCGCATCTGGGGTCATAAAAATTCCTCAATTTTTTTCGGTGAACGGATGAACCGGCGTCAATAGCACCCCCCAATCCATGCGCCATGGGAACGCAAATGTCAATTATTATTTTATCATTATTAAATATCGCCGGGCGTATGCTCTAATTTCAAGAAAATAGGGGGACTGTGATAACCCAAACATGTCGCCTTAAATTGACACGTGAAAAAAAAATTGAAAGCCCGCGAAAAATAAAAAATGTGACTAAGTTGCGCAGGTTGAAGACCTTCTTAGTGCTCAGCTACAAAAAAAAATTGTATGACTTTGAATGAAATCAAATTAAACGTTCTGAATCAGTGCGAATATTTAAAGATCACAAATTTAATAAAAACAAGAAAAATCTGAATTAAAGTAACTACATACATGCAAATACACAAGTCATTACAGAAGTCTGGCGACAAATTTAAAATTATGGCAATCAACAAAAGAACAAAATTTTAATAAACAAACTATGCAGCGGCAGCGGTACCAGAGCGCTATAAGAGTGTGGCGATCGAACTATGTCAATTTCATTCTAGACCACAACAAAAATAGCACGAGCGGAGTTTGGGCCTCCTGGTCGTGGCTGTTCTCCTACCCATGACGATGATTCTATCCACAGACCATTAAACAAATAGGAAGACAGTTCATTGCCATTTAATCGTATAGTCTAGGAAGCGACACTAGCGCTGCGCGAGCGGCTGGAGCAAACACTCATTCGCTTATACTCGTGTAAATTTCGTAATAGATCGTGTTTACTGTCAACAAATATCTCCTTTAACGTCATTCAAATTCAAACGCCAAATTATAATTTTTTCAAAAGGTTTTCAGTAGTAAGTTTGGTGGCTATTATATCTGCTATTTTTAAGTCATATTAATATAGTTTTACTTGCTTCAGATACAACGGAAATGAAAATTATTAATAAATATCGATGCAAAGTTCCAAATTGTCCGTCAGTATACGCAACAGGAATCAACAAGAACAAAAATAAACATTTTTTTATTTTTCCTAAATCCAGTTCAAAAACAAAAGTGGATAGATACCATTAATGCCTCCTGCACAGAAAAAATTGTTGTTAATTGTAAAAAAGCTTACATTTGTGAAGATCATTTCAGTAAAAATTACTTTACGAGCACCGCACAAACGAACCTTCATAAATACGCAATTCCCACTATTTTTAAGGACAGTAGTCAAGCTGTGATTAATACTAATGGTGATGGGTATTCCAGTAAAAGTGAACAAAAAAATTATAAAATTTTTATTTTTTTAGTCGGAACTATTCCGGAATCTGAGTATGATGGTAGCGTAAATTCACAAAGACGCAAACGCCATTGCGATACTCTCACGACAATATCACATACTCCGAAAAAAAGAAAATATTCACCCAGTGTTTTGAAAAAGGTAGGATGCAAAAGAGTGGACGACTTAACTCCTAGAGAGCAAACTTTATTTAGAATAACAAAACGCCAGAAACAGGCAATAAACAGATTAAATTTAAAATTATGTAAATAAAAAAAAAACTTGGATCTTCTAAAACGTGCTCCCCAAAATCATCTAATTAACATTTTACAAGAAAATTGCAATTCTGTAAGTGCAAGCTTCATAAAATCCCAATTTGATAACATGAAAAAAAAAATTCCTAGATGGTCAACTGAAAATAAAATATTTGCCTTGGCTATGTACAAAAGAGGTCCAAAATGTTATCGCTTTTTAAAACATTTTTTCAGACTTCCGTCAAAAACAACTTTGTACAAATTTTTGAAAAATATACCTTTTGAATGTGGCGTGAATGACGAACTATTTGATAAGTTAAAAATGAGAATTGAGAAACTGAAACCAAGAGATCGATTATGCAAGCTTATGTTTGATGAAGTGTCTTTATCTACAAATTTAACCTATTCGAGATCTACTGACAAAATTATTGGTTTTGAGGATTTGGGATCTTTAGGACGAAATAAAAATTATGCTAACCATGCGTTAGTATTTATGATACAAGGTATTAGTTCCGGATGGAAACAATCAATAGCGTACTATTTTGTTAAGGACTCTATTAAAAGTATAAAATTAAAACTAATAATTAAAGAAATTATTGGCAAACTTAATGTGGCCGGCGCAAAAGTCATATGCACCGTTTGTGATCAGGCCAGTTCGAATGTAAAGGCTCTACGTTTGTTAAAAGAAGAATCAAATGTAGAGTATAAGGAACCATACTTTAAGGTAAATTAAAAAAAAATTGTATGTTTATATGATAGTCCCCATTTATTGAAATCATTAAGAAATGCTCTCCTTAAATATACGATTTATTATGATGAAACCAAGAAAGCTAAATTTATGTATTTGAGACAAGCTTATCAATTTGATAGTACTCGAAGATTTCAAACTTTGCATAAAATCCGAGAACCCTTTCTTTACGTGAACAGATATAGATTATTAAAGATGAAAGTGTCAATTGCAGCAAAAACACTTAGTGCCAGTATGGCAGCTGCACTTGAAACTCTAATAGATTCAAAAGAAAATATTCCTTCAGAAGCAATCGAAACGGCTTTCTTTGTAAAAGACGCAAATGATTTATTCGACAGTTTCAACTCCACTGGTATTAATATGCGTAACAACCACTGCAATCCAAAGCTAAGATGTGCTTTAACAAAGAAATCTGGTCATTTTGATTTTTGGAATAAAATGGAAAAAAAAATCGAAAGTTGGAAATTTTATGACGAAGTACGTGGTCAATTCAAAACAACTATGCCCTTTAAAGAAGGTTGGTTAAATAACATTCGTGGAATTAGACTTCTTTGGCAGATGTGTGAAAAAAATGAATTCAAATTTTTGCGAACAAGAATGTTGAATCAGGATCCTCTAGAAAATTTATTTTCAGTGATACGACAATACGGTTCAGGAAATAGTAATCCATCGTGTTTTCAATTTATATCGGCGTTAAAAACAAGTATTTTGAATAATTTGATAGCATATCAAGCATATGGTAAGGATTGTGAAGAAGATGTAGGGAAACTTCTCGATAATCTTAGAATATTTTTATCCTCGTCATCAAAACCAACAAATTTTCAGTTTACAGAAAATATCAATGAGTTGGTAAATTTAGAAAATTCTAGCTCAACTAATAGAGCTGCATTTAAAGATTTATATGATCTTCAGGCTATTACATATGTTTGTGGCTTTTTAATAAAAAAATTAAAAGCTATCACATGTAAAGACTGTAAAAATTGTATAATTGCACAAAAAACCGAAGAACATCATATTTTCACTCTTTACAAAGAACAGGATCAAAAATTAAGGTTGAAATATGCTACAAAAGAATTTGTAACATGCTTAGCTGAGATTTACGATACCATAGTCTTCTTTTTAGATAATTTTGGAGTAGTTCCAAATATTGCAAGAAATTTAAAAGAACATATAACAGCAACAATTAACTTTACTTGGATTAACTGTGACATTCATATTGCTGATTTAAGAACGGAAATTATTAATTTGGCAGTGCGTCTAATAATAAATAAAAAATTGACCAATCTGCAAAAACAATTTGAAGTACATAATCGTAGAAGAATTAATAATTCAAATAGGTTTTAAAATTAACACCTACCCGTAGTTTCAAGAGTTTTTTTTTAAGCAGTTTGTAATTAAATTATTTTTTTTAGGTATTTCGAAATGAAATTGTTTTTCTTTGAGAGTTGTTTTGTAATTTTGTCATTGTTATCAAATATATGTTTTTCATTACTGAATTTAGTTTCATTTTTATAGAATTAAAATTGTAATTAAAAATAAAATTACTACTATAGTAATTATAATCTAGTAATCAGTGGATTTAATTCATGCAGGAGCTCGAGCAGCGCTGTAATCGCCACATTAAATCGTAGTGGTTTTTGAACGTCTTTCTATTTGCTTAATGGTCTGTGATTCTATCTATCGCAAGCATTGCCGCAAAGCACATCTCCATTACGAACATGCCGTACGAGCAGGCCGTTACGGTCGTAAACTAGCGGTGGAATCCGGGCTATCACGAAGCCGACAGCGTCACGTCATCTCGACCGCCCCTGAATTCTATTCTAAACCTGCATCCTTTGTGCAGTTGGTGCGATAAACGCCGCCAGCTCGACTAGGAACCGCGCTCTCCGCTTCGTCCACGTATTTCAGTGTTATTTAACCTCAATTACACTTAAATGTTCAATTTCTATGACTCTGATATTAAACTACAACTGAATAAGTGTCAAAGTTTCAAAAAGAGCAATATGTTTAAATAAATTATATTAATAATTTATATAAATAATAAAATATATAAAAGGCAATGTCCCGACTGACATATCAATGCCCAGCCCAAACCGCTAATGCTAGAAAGTTGAAATTTGGAGAGAATGTTCATTTTATGCTGGAGGCATCGTTTAAGAAGGGATTTTTCGAAATTCATCTCCTAAGGGGGTGAAAATGGGTGATAAAATTTGTATAGGACCAATATTTTCTACTGTAAATTTACATCGTTACGTGAAACCTGGTACATTTTAATTCTCTTCAATACAAATAAGGAAATACGTATTTAAGAATTTTCGAAGATTCGACCCCTAAGGGGGTGAAAAGTGGTGTCTAAGTTTGGGCCGCTGAGTTTGTATCGGAACAATATTTCTACTATAAATTGAAATTTTTTCGTGAAACTTGGTATTAATGTTCTTCAACACAAATAATGAAAGCCGTCTTTAAGCATTTTCTAAAATTCAACCCCTAAGGGGGCGAAATGTGGAGGCTAAGTTTATATGAGAAAATATTTCTATTGTATTTTTACATTTTTACGTGAAATTTGGTACTAATGCTCTTCAACACATGGTAATGAAACACGTATTTAAACATTTTCCGAAATTCAACCCCTAAGGGGGTGAAAAATGGTGGCTAACTTTATATCGGAAAATTATTTCTATTGTAAATTTTTGACATGGAATTTAGTATTAATACATAGTGAAACACGTAAGTAAGCATTTTCCGAGATTCAACCCCTAAGGGGGTGAAAAGTACTGGTTAACTTTGTATGGGAAAAGTACTTATATTGTAAATTTAAATTTTTGCATGAAACTTGATATTAAATTAATGCTCTTCAATACGCAGAGTGAAACCCGCATTTAAGGATTTTCCAAGATTCAACCCATAAGGGAGTGAAATGTGGAGGCTAAATTTGTATGGGAAAATATTTCTATTGCATATTTAGATTTTTATGTGAAACTTGGTATTAATGCTCTTCGACACAAAATAATAATGAAACACGTATTACATTTTCCGAGATTCAACCCCTAATGGGGTAAAAAAGGGTGTGGCTAAGTTTGTATGGGAAAAATATTTTTATCGAGATGTTTACTTAAAATTAAAAGGGGTGAAATATGGTGGCTAGATTTGTGTGGGAATATTTCTATTGTAAATTTAAATTTTTACATGAAACTTGACATTAATTGTCTCCAACACAAATAATGAGACATCTATTTAAGCATTTTCCGAGATTCAACTCCTAAGGGGGTGAAAAGTACTGGCTAACTTTGTGTGGGAAAAATATTTCTATTCTAAAATTAAATTTTTACGTGAAACTTGGTATTAGTGCTTTTAAACACAAATAATGAAACACGTATTTAAGCATTTTCCGAGATACAACCCCTAAGGGGGTGAAAAATGGTGGCTAAGTTTGTATGGGAAAACTATTTGTATTGTAAATTGTATTGTTACGTGAAACTTGATATTAATGCTCTTCAATACAAATAATGAAGCACGTATTTAAGCATTTTCCGAAATTCAACCCGTAAGGGGGTGAAAAGTGGTGGCAAAGTTTGTATGGGAAAAATATTTCTCCTTTAAATTTTTACGGGGAACTTGGTACCCTGCCAAGTGAAAGAAAAACTAGCAAAGATTTGTAGAAACAAAAAAAAAAAGATCTGGTGTGAAGTGAAACTTGTGCAGATAAAAAAGTTACATGAGGTCAGGAACTGCAGAGCATGAAAATTTATGTTCAATTGAAATTATACAGAAAATTACTGAAGTTAAAATTATGAGATAGAAAAAATACATGAGGTGAAAAATTGCAAAACTAGCAAAATTACATGAGTTTAATATTTTATGCATTATTGGCCATCGTTTTACATTTCTCCAAACAAACAAAAAAAAAAACAACATAACAGGCAATCTGCAGGTTAAAAAAATATGCGTCAAAACTTAAAGGAATAAAATGCACGTCCCACAATGTTGTTAATTTGTTCAATAAGATTTTACAGTTCAAACAAGTGCTCGGTTTGAAAACACTCTTTTAACATGGCCGCTGCCAGAACAAAGAATTTACCTGATGTTAAATTATGCCACACTTTATCAACGATTCAAACAAAGAGTTTACATAATGTGAACATGATCCAAGTGATTGGTTACTTAAAACAATTAGCTTTGGAAGTTTATATCGTGGACTGAGGACTGTTTATCCGAAACAAAACACATGATAAATAAACACAAAATGCGTCCAGCGTTGCGAGGAGTATGCGCCTCGGTGATCTAATTTGCAACGTTGCGAGGAAAATGCGTCTCGGTGCTGTGATGATGATTACGATGATAATAACTGCCTAAGGATGAAAATTGATCCCTCAGCCCCTCAGTTCACGATATCATGAATTCTGCCACACTTTTCTACGGTCTGTTCCCAACGTTAGGTTAATTTAACTACTGTAAATGAATTATGTATATTGTGTGAGGAATTAAGAAGTGTTATAATGTAACACTTAAGTATTAACATCCAGAAACTTATTCATAACTTTGTAAATAAAGGTGAATCCTGACTAAGTGAATAAATCTAATGTCGGTTAAATTGTCTTAGAACCAGTTAATGATTAAAATCTTAACATGATCTGTGAATTTACAAACAATAAAACAAATTTACACCACACATTAGCGTCGGTTGAAAATTCACCTATTTCCGCTTGGAAAAAACCGCAAGAATTATTTATGCGCCTTGGGGAAACTGGCGTCGTCGTCGTTACGATTAATTGTCGTTAAATAAAGGCTTCCTCCCTTTTATTAACCACCAAACCAACTAAACTTAACTAACTCACCACGTGGTTACACTCACAATAAACACCAAAAGTGACCCTCTCCCCACCCTCTACAAAATAAGCACCGTCTCACTACTAACCCTCTAATTAAAATTCCAAGCAGAACTATCCACTACCGAAAAAGCGTTAACGTGCACATGGTTGCCTATGTCATTGATTAAATACATATAGATAGACCCATGCTATTGTTTGGAGCGAACAGGCCAACGGCGGGCGAACAAGAGATGGCGCACCAACAGTCGGCCGTCAAACGCCGGCGAAAAGCTTGGACACCAATCGCGCGCGTAGATAACCCAAATCGCAGCAACAATACATTTAATAAAGCTACCACTCGACAGAGGGCGACGAAAACAATGTGTAAAAATCTCATAGTAACCATTTATATAATTTGCAACGTTGCCAGATGAGCCTAGCACAACTTTGCCGTTATTTCTAGTCGATTAGATTTTATTTCGTTTAAAAGTTTCTGGTGAATAAATGGAATTATTATAATGAATAAACAATACAAACAAATTATTACTTGTTATTTTAAATACTTGTTAGTGTTGATGAAAACATAAATGGTAATTAAAGTTATTCTAAATACGGTCCGGTCCGGTAGCTCAAATTTTACAGTACGAGTAATATGTTTCAGGACGAGTAGGTAGCCGAGTCTTTAATTTCGAAACGAGTACTGTGAAAAGAGTTACCGGACGTATGTTGTTATGTATTTTATTTCATACTGTCAACATACTTTTTTATTCGATAAAATTATTATTATTTTGAGAAAAAATCCAAATCGAGTCACTTTTTCTGACATCGTTAGCAACCGCTCTTTGGTAAATGTTTTCTAAATTTACATTTGTATTTACAATAACAGGTAAAGCAAAAGAGACCCAAAAGGGTCAGTGGCCGCTTCCGGAAATGGAACACTTGTCCTTTTTGGCTCAATTTTATCGGACTTGTCCGTTTTTTTGATTTTACCGGAATAGTTCGATCCAGTAAAACGTCAAACTTGACATAGTATAAAGTAAAATAAATAAATTTTATTCAATTTTGACATGTAAACAAACGTTTATTTTGCCGTCAGTAGGCCACTAAAGCTTTGGTTTATCCGGTAGCACCATAAAATTTTTAAACCGCTAGCGAAATAAAATTTTTATTTTGCTGTTTTAAAACCATGGTTACCATTTCTGTAATTTCTCCAATGCCTTGCTGCTCTTTCCATCTAAGGAACTTTTGATACACTTTCTGATTTGCTCTTTTTTGGGAGCAGTTTTGCCGTTGGAATCTTGCATGATTTTGCAATTTTTCGATAATTTTAGTTTGTTTAAAATAAACAAACACCGTCGCCAGAGTCACATACTACACACACACACCTGATATTGTAACCTAAATTCTACGCATATAAAACTTTTATTTGGTCGCTGTCAATTCTGACGTTTCTCGAATGTGAACTTTGAATCACCAATTTTTTCACAATTTGGGACTTGGGGTTGTCAAAATTGAATAAAAGTTTGTATTACACTCGCGGTTAAAATGAATGTGTATCTCGTGGTCTTAAGGCGCTCATTAAACATTCACTTTAACCGCTTGTATAATAAATAACTATTATGATGTAAATACAATTGAGTATATCGATAATTCGCTACTGAAAATTTATTGAAATATAATTTGTGTTAAAAAAAGATTTTTGTGGTTTTATGGTTTATTAACATAATTTACTTATTTGAAATTAAATATTTTTAATACATAGCACAAGTTCTTGATATTCTTTATTTTTATTCCAAGTAATAATTGTGTTTCCTTTAGTTTTAATCAAGAAAATGTTTCGGTTATTATCTAACATACTTTTGTACATTAAGAAACTCCATTCCACGTCACAGGACGTTACAGGACAATATTTAAATAAATAAAGAAGTCGTTTTATGTGTTTTAAAATTCACTCTGATTTCCGGACTTTAGACTTTTTGGTGTTTCACTTCGGCACAAGAACTAGTCGTATCTCAAAGAAAACAAACAGTGGAATATACCATATTGTACCTATATTTCATAGTAAAAATGTCTAAATTTTTTTATGAAGAGACAGACTGTTCTAGGAAACTTTACTAAATCTTTTCATTTACGAGCTATTGAAAGTCCGCCGGTCTCACTGATACTTCTTACTTGGCTCCTACGAATGAAGCGAAAAATGCACAGATTGAAAACATAGTAAATGGGGTAGTATGTATGCGTGATATGTCGTTAGACATTAAGTATTTTGCAAATAAAATTTATTTCATTGAAAACAGAAACAATAAAAAACATATCTGTACAAGTTTGGAATCGATATGGCCAGTTGTTTAGAATATGCAAATATGCTTTTGTTCGTATTTACAATTATTACGAAACAGGTTATCAAATAATCTATTTTCACATGGCGAGACTTTCAAGCGGCCGAAGAATTAAAAACCCTAAATTTTCACTGAAGAAACAAACTCTTCCAAGAAAATTACCAAATCTTTTAGTTTACGCACTATTGGACGAGCACTCCTTAAAACGGTCAGTATACCTAATCGCATTATTCCATTGATACCTACCTACCGAAAACGTTGCCAGATGAGCCTAACACAAATTTGCGGATATTTCTCGTCAACCAGATATTATTTCATTTAGAAGTTTCTGGTAAATAAATGGGATTATTGTAATGAACACATAAAACAAATAAATTGTGATTATTATTTGTTGTTTTAACCCATTAGACGCTTATAGGCTTATAAGCATACTTTTCTTGAAAAATCGGTAATAAATTCAGTGAAACATCTTTGTGCCTTAATTCTTATTGGTAAACTGGGATTTTGAATAGAGGTCGCAGGAAAATTTTGTATGGTTTTATGGTTTATTTACATAATTTTCTTATTTACAATGAATGTTTTTGATATATAATACAAGTTCTTGATATTATTTATTTTAATTACATTTAATAAACCATAAAACCACAAAAATCTTTTTTTAACACAAATTATATTTCAATAAATTTTCAGTAGCGAATTATTATCGATACACTTAATTGTGTTTACATCATAAAATTTATTTATTTTACTTCATACTATGTCAAGTTTGACGTTTTACTGGATCGAACTATTCCGGTAAAATAAAAAAAACGGACAAGTCCGATAAAATTGAGCCAAAAACACGGAGGTAGAAGAGACACTCTTCTACCTCCGTGGCCAAAAAGGACAAGTCTTCCATTTCCGGAAGCGGCCACTGACCCTTTTGGGTCTCTTTTGCTTTACCTGTTATTGTAAATACAAATGTAAATTTAGTACTTCTGTAACCGTCCTGTATTAAACATCGAAACCGAACGCTGTCTATTATCTCGCACGCAAGAAAACAAAGGTCCTTGGAGCAATATCAAAGTACAATTCGGTATCACATTGTCGTATCAACCACATTACAAAAAATACTGGTAGGACGAGCCGAGTTGCACAAACATTGGTACTTCGAGACGGATTGCACAAAACATTCGTCCATCGAGTCGGATTATACAAAACAATAAAGTCCTGTAAAGTGTTATAAGTACTATGTGTTTAAACATATGATGCTGATTTGCACGAATAAACAAATTAAAACATTTACCAAAGAGCGGTTGCTAACGATGTCAGAAAAAGTGACTCGATTTGGATTTTTTCTCAAAATAATAATAATATTATCGAATAAAAAAGTATGTTGACAGTATGAAATAAAATACATAACAACATACGTCCGGTAACTCTTTTCGCAGTACTCGTTTCGAAATTAAAGACTCGGCTACCTACTCGTCCTGAAACATATCACTCGTACTGTAAAATTTGAGCTACCGGACCGGACCGTATTTAGAATAACTTTAATTACCATTTATGTTTTCATCAACACTAACAAGTATTTAAAATAACAAGTAATAATTTGTTTGTATTGTTTATTCATTATAATAATTCCATTTATTCACCAGAAACTTTTAAACGAAATAAAATCTAATCGACTAGAAATAACGGCAAAGTTGTGCTAGGCTCATCTGGCAACGTTGCAAATTATATAAATGGTTACTATGAGATTTTTACACATTGTTTTCGTCGCCCTCTGTCGAGTGGTAGCTTTATTAAATGTATTGTTGCTGCGATTTGGGTTATCTACGCGCGCGATTGGTGTCCAAGCTTTTCGCCGGCGTTTGACGGCCGACTGTTGGTGCGCCATCTCTTGTTCGCCGGCCGTTGGCCTGTTCGCTCCAAACAATAGCATGGGTCTATCTATATGTATTTAATCAATGCCTATGTTTACCGATTTTATTTATTTATTTTTTCAAATTCAAATTCGGTCACCACAGGATTAATTCTTAATTTGATGAATAAACAATTATGTGATGACGTGATATAGACAGGGTGTTTCTTTACGTATGGTTTAATAATGCAATTATTTTACTTGTTTAATTGATGAATAAATATGTACATATATAAAAATCTGCAGATGTGTGTTTCCTTTTAGCTGCTTTGTTGTTCTTTAGTGGAATTCACTTTATTTTTGCTTTGCAGAGATGCCTAAGCATACTGGAAGTTGGTGCTCGCGAATCTCTTGCCGACGTCGTTCAGAAGGTACTTAAGAAAATCATGTCTCAAACCGAGGGTAAGGAAGAAGAGCTCGACGACACTCTGCTAACTTGATTACAATTATCGGACATCACAAATATATTCTCTTGCTGTATTCCGCCTTTCTTTGTTGTTTTAAATGATTTTTATGGATTTCTTTTAAGCCTCTTATTAGGTTTAAATCGTACCCGACTTTGTAAATTTTGTTTTAAATATATAAGCATGAAGAAATTGACAAAAAAGCTTTTTATTTACAATTCATTGTAAACAAATTGAAAAACATTTACAAAAAGAAACGAGGATATAACTAGTAGTCATCTCCACGCGAAACCACCTCTTTGCAAGTTGGACGAAGCATTATAGTATGCTCAAACTGTGCTGTGTAACAGCCCTTTATGTCGCAGAGAGGGGGATATGCATCTACGACTCCCTTGTCACACAGATCTTTCAAAGCCATCTGATACTTTGTAGCACCTGCGCGGTCCAGCCAGCGCTTGCAGAAAGCCAACGTACCGAAGTTCTTGTTGATGATGTTCAGCAGTGCCTTGGAAGATTGCAATCTAAAAAATGGAAACATTTTAGCAAAATATAACAATGTACAAAAAAGCTTTAAAACTCACCTTAAAGGAACATACGAACTTTCAAAATTCTTCATATAGTGAGAACAATCCATGTCATCGTGAACCACACCTCGTCCAGTAGAGCCAAAAGTCTCTATAGCATAAAATTCGTTTTCCTCCATGACGGTGGCTTCACCACCCTTAACAATTGGCACTGTTTTCCCAGCATGAATTCCTAAAAAAACTCAAAATACAAACAACCTCACACAAATTCTCGTTACTTTACGGTAAGGTGAAATGGAGTGTCCATTCAGATTCCTAATCGATTTAATCGGATAAGTTTTCCCGTCCAACTCCAATTCATACGATTCCATAACTTCCTGAATCGCCGCCCCGATTTCGCACAACTGCACGTCAATTCCAGCCTCTCTGATCCCAGTATTAGTGGCATCTCTTACCGCTTCCACCAACTTATCATACTTCGGATTAAAAGTGTGCGTGAACGCACAGTCGATAATCCTTCCGTTAATATGAGTACCAAAATCGATTTTCACCACGTCGTCATATTCCAGAACGGTCGGATCTCCAGCGTTCGGAGTATAATGAGCGGCACAATGATTTCTGGAGCACCCCGTGGGAAAAGCCAAACCGGCTTTCAAACCGTTTTCGGATATCAATTTTCTGGCTGTGTTCTCCAGCTCCTCGCATATCTGGATCATCGTCATTCCGGGTTTGATCCACTTTTGGATGTACTGACGCGTTTGACGGTGAGCTTCGGCAGCTAAACGGACCTCGTTGTAGATGTCATTGTGCATGCGGTCCAGAGCGCGTTTTTCTTCTGAAGTGAAACGATCTTTGGCAGTGCGGTCGTCTTGGTTTACGCGATAGTCTTGGATTTCACCGATGGGAAACACCTGGTCGGGGAAAAGGTCCGCTATGGGAATAGACGGTGGGTCGGTTTGGGTGACTTTGGCTCCGCCTATACAAACAAATGCATTACAAATAATATAGAACGTATTTTTTACATCAGCTTTAAAAACAATATGTACAATGGGCGACGTAAAATAAATGTGTGATCAGGAATGCTAGACGATTGTCTCATAAGACCCTGTTTGCCAAAATCTGTCTTATTTTAGCAGGTACTAGCCCCGCCCACCCACCCTCTCTTTTCTTAGAGGGTGTGTCATTTGCCAAAATCAGTCTTATGTTAGCTTGAATGCAAAATCCGTATTTTTCTACACGAATTACATGTGAAACATGTTCTTCAGTGATGGTGTTATTCAAAGAAAACTATATGTAGTAAGCAAAAAAAAAATGCCAAACATAAGCCCCACCCATCCGTCTGGATCTCAATCCTGATAAATTTTCCATTCGTTGTCAGACTGAGGGGCGGGGCGTAATGGCAAAATTCCATATTTTCTGTGTTAAACATGTTCTAAGTTTCTTGTTGCGAAAAGAAGAGTACGAATATTAAAAAAAAGCAGAATATAAACGGAACATTTTCGGAATATTCGGTGTGAACTTTTTGAAATTAAAAAAAAAAATGTGATATTTCAAGGGGCAATTCTGGATAGATGATTGGAGCTATGGAAGAAATGAGGCCGGAAGTGACTTCTGCGGCCCGAAATCTACAAGAAAGTATTTAGTTGAATTTTGAAAATCGTCGAAAATGGGTCGAAATTTGCACAAATTTGGTGGAAAATTTCATTTTTGAAAAAAATCGTCTAAAATTCTCAAAAAATTCAAAGTTATTGATCTTGACGTCCTGATTCCAAAAATATGTATAGCGTGTTAAGGGTCACGGAACAACATTGTGGATTTTTAAGTAACTTTTTCAAAAGGTCAATTTTTTCAAAATAAAATTTTTGATCCTTTTTCGAACACTACAAAAAATTAACTAAAGAGTTTTTTAATACATCTTGATTTCTAGCAGTTATTTTCGTCTTCATTTCTTAGAAAATTGCCACCATTTTTCTACAATTTACAATATGAAATATGTATAACAATTTTTTTAGAATTTCAATTGAGATCGCGATGGATAGGCGGAGCTTAAATTTTACCTTCTTTCTGAACATACGCAATAAGCTTTTCAGGACAATATATTTAAAACGTTTAAAATGGTAATTTTTTGTCGGGAAACATAGATTTTACAATTAAGCTCTGCCCCTCGCTCTGACAAAACGAATGAAAAATTCATCACAATTGAGATTGGGGCGGGTGGGAGGGGCTTATTTTTCCTTAACATATATAGTTACCTTTCAACAATATGTTACTTAAAAACATATTTCACATGGTAGTTTCTTGTAAAGAAATAAGCATTTTGCAATAAACTCCGCCCTTATGCTCACAACGAATAAAAACGTTAACACAATTGAAGTGAGGACGGGTGGGCGGGGTTTGTATGTTGCCACATGTTTAAGAGTAAATTTGTAGAGAAGTGTATATAAAAGATTATGTATATTAAAAAAAAGCAAAATATAAGCCCCACCCACCCACCCTATCTGAAATGTGATAATTTTTCTTTATTCGTCGTTAGTGGGGGGGGGGGGGGAGCTTAATTGCAAAATCCGTATTATTCTACAAGAATTGTCATGTGGAACATGTTCTTCAGTGATGATGTTGCACGAGGAAAACTATATGTACATATTAAGTAAAAAAAAAAGCAAAAATATAAACCTCACCCATCCGTCTGGATCTCAATCGGGGCTAGTAATAGGCCCGCCCACCCACCCTCTCTTGTCTTAGAGGGTATTTTGAACATCTTCTCTAGTGTTTGGTTTAATGGATTTTTCTTTTGTTGGTTTTCTGTTTGTATATGTGTTTTATAATTGTTGTATAAAATTCTTGTGTCACAGTGTTTGTAATCGAACTCCTCCAAAACGGCTTGACCGATTTTTATGAAATTTTTTATGTATATTCGGTACGTCTGAAAATGGGTTGTAACCTATTTTTTATACTCCTAAGTGAAAGGGTGGCTCACCCTAATTTTTTTTATTTTTTGGACAAAATTTTTTATTTTTATTTTTTTAAGATTTGGCATCAACAAATACATATAACCCTAAATTTTCAGCCTTCTACCACCAACCCCCATTTTTTAATAACGATATTAGTATCTTTACTTTCATCCACAGATGCGCAATAGGGTTGCAAGATGGCTGTTGAATATAATCATTGTCGTACGATAAATTTTTATGGATAATTTATACTGTAATTTAATTATAATTTACACTAGAAATAATTTATATGGCAAAACAACGTTTGCCGGGTCAGCTAATAATTAATTAAAATTGTTTTTTTCCACAGTCATGATTTTATATTATGTACGTAGTAAATCTGAAATCATATATAAAAATGTTAGTTAATAATTTATATTCCATAAATTAACACACAATGAATATGGAGGCGAAGTGCCAAAATTGCGAACTTTTACTGCCGGTTTTAATATCCCAATTTTGTATGTTCGATAATAATCTGCATATATAGAAAATGATAATTCTGTAAGCAGTTTTATTAATCTATAGTGTCTACGATATATATTTATTTCAATAATACTAATTAAAAACGATTTACTTTCAGGAATAAATATGAAGTTAATGCTAATTTAATTTAATTTATATGTTCTGAAAATATTGTTCCTTGTTATAAGAGCCGATTTTGTTTTTTAAGTTTTACACAACTTACAACAAAGGAAAAATAAAAAATAACAACTGCGACATCAGAATAATATTTTTTCTATTATATTTTGCATTTTTTTTAGATATGTTAGTTTGAAGTGCCTCTTTGTTCAAACTGTGTTCAGCCAAAATTAACAGAAATATGACCCACCATTCTTCGGTATGTTTGATTATCATTACTAATTTTTGTTTTAATGAGTTAAAGTTTTCAACAAAAAATTGCTACTTTTTAATTGCTCACAAATCTAAATTGAGCTTAAAAATGAAAACGTGTTGGATAAAAATAATATTTATTTGTAACTTAAATAATTATGATGCTTCTATTCGACACTTTCGGCTTTGAAATGGAGAAACGATGGAGGGTTGTATTTCAGCGAGAGTGAAATCTCTACCTCTATTCCAAGCACCTGCGATATGCCGCTGATTGTGAATTGTCAGATCTGGATGACTCATTGTGCTATTTCGGGGCCGTGACGCTATCAACATGATATTCCTAATATACATACAAAATATGACAACAATCAGTGCAGTAATTTCGGAGATTACGTGTCTAACAAAACACAGACGGACAGACGAAAACGGGAGATCACTTGTTTTGTACTTTTGGGGTCATAAAACGTCGCCCGATGGACTCTATTACTATACTTCCTTAGTATACACTCGGGAAGTAAAAATTGTTGATGCAAAAACGGCGGGTTGCAGAAAAAATATGTTTACATCAAAAAGTGTCGTTTTAAAAAATAAAATTGTCCTGTTCAAGGATTTTCCAAGAAAACGTCAATTAACAGAAATATGAATTTTGCAAAGGTTCCATGGAGTCGGTACATTTAACACAGTTTTCATTTCGATCTTGGTTAACATATTGTATTGCTTGTAGAATAGCCAACGGTTCAGCAGTCAAGATATCGCATTCATTCAGAAAGTAGAACAACATATCTTCCTTTGGTTTTATTACAGCGCATCCTACGTCTTCCTAAATCTTTTGAGCTTTGAGTGTTTTATTTTTTATGAATTTGAAGCAGTCTTGAGTGCCGCTGTTTTTTTTTTTTTAATCGGGAAACTCTTGGGTGGCCATAGTATATTATTTTGGAAGCTCATAAAGATTTTTTTGTAAATTATTTAAAACAATTTTGGGGGACTTCGGTGTTCTATTTTTGAAAAATTCTGACCTGACCTTTTTTCAAGTTAATTGTGGGACTCCGGTTTTTGAAAAATTTAAAACAATCTTGAGGTTCAAGGTATTCCTGTTTGAAAACATTTGAAAGTGCTTTGGAGTCTCTAGTAGTTTGGTGTCTTTTCTTATAATAATTTAAGTAAATTTCTTAGAGGATACGTCATTTACTGAAATTAGTCTTATCTTAAGGCTCTACCACACCTCAAGAAAATTTATATTTTAAAAAATATGCAACTTGTAAAACACCCATGCTACCTCGTTATGACAGCTGCCAATCATCTCTAACTGCCCATTCACAATGGACATAAGGCATAACAAGTACATAAAGCTTACATAAATACATAAAGTTGAAACGATGGAAAACGTGTACCCCTGTTCACAGTGGACGAACGTAATTCTTATGCTTATGAACGTTTTATGTAATCCTTGTGTGCGTACACAAAGTTGAAACAAGTTCAACTTTGTGCACGAATTATGTCAAAATTATGTTAAAATCTAGGGACTTTTGAATGCTGCTATTGAATTCCCTTTGACAGTTGGCACTTGGCACTTCACATCTTTGATTATATTATATAAATTATAATCAAAGCTTCACACTGCGAGTTTGTTCTGTACTGCGAGTTGTCAAGTTCGAATATCGTATGAAATTGTAGGTTAGATATTTTGATTGACTCAGTTTGAGGTTAGCCGTTTCTGTCTTTAGCCGGGAGTTATTCCGTTCTGCGTTTGCGCAGTTTAACAATTCTTACAGAGTTCACTCTGTCCACTGTGAACGTAGATAAGCATAAGCCAGACACAAACCAAAAACGTAAATTATGTTATGCGCTCGTTCTTATGTCTTATGTCCATTGTGAATGGGCAGTAAGGGTTAAAATCGTTCACTTCGTTTACAATAGCTAGTTTTATTACTGCTATTGTCAGCGGGGGATGTGTATCCCAGCTTGCAGGTAGAGCAGAGTAAGGAACTAAAATATTTATCTACTATGAAAGAAAACAAACAATATTTCTTAGCTTACGTTCGAGAAGTAAAAACGCAAAAACACGTCTACTGGTATATAAAAATTGCCATTTTGTAATATTAGTTTCAAAAGTTTTGAGCGACATTTGACAGGTGTATGACGTCATCGATAA